CTAGTTTCCTTTCGTGACTCATACCGTGTTCTCTTCAGTATTGAGTTCAGAGCGAATTGCATAACGTTTTTTCTCATATAATAGATATACTAAGGAGGTTTCAGCGACATCTATCGTCTATGTCACTAAACTTCTACACTATATACGTGTGTTATGTGTTGGTTAACTACTTCGAGTGATGTGATAATAATGTTATGTGAAGTCGAACTACATTTTTGTAAAGCTTCATAATCCGTTCAATACATTTAACGCGACAGACCAACACATATTCATACATTCCCATTGACTCCCGTTTATATCGTTGGTATTAGAATCTCCAATATCGAAATGATATATGATTTATTAGTATATCTTTTATCTTTCTAGATTATAATAATAGTAGACAGAATAATCGGCTTTCCGATTACCAGTCTAGTGTCGAGATTCCTGACAGGTTTGGAACTCTTTAGAGATAAAATTGAAGAATGGAACAAAAACGCCCACAAAGGAAACAATATGATTGATATATCACTGGCTGGATATACAGGGTGACTGGTGAATTACTATCAATATTTAAGGAGCATACTCGGTACATGATTCTCATTCGAATTATGTAAAAAAAATAGGTACTTAATTTTTGACCAAATTTCCGTATAAATAAATAAAGTTTGGACACGTACTCAGCCTTGCCGGCGCCAGTGTGTCGCTACTGCCCAACCCCCCCCCCCCGTGGCTAGCGGGCCATTAGTCGGCTATTAGTCGCGCGAGCGCCGCCGTAAGGTCCGTACGCTCGTCTTCCCGCGCGCGCGCCTAGCGATCGATCTTACGCGTATACCTAATAATAATCTGTCGAGTGTGCGTGTGACCCGTTATTACTTATTAGTAATTAAATATGGCTTTTCAATACACAAATGCAGAATACTTGGACATGGTTCATGCGTATGCGCGTGCAAATGAAAGCTTGCCGGGCGCAATCAATTTGTACTGGGAGATGTTCCCCAATCGTCGAGTACCTACGGCCAGCGTCATCTTAAACGCTAATCAAAGATTACGAGACTTCGGACAGTTCCGTGTTCCAACACATGCCCAAGGAAACGTCTTGTGTATGCTACAATGTATGTCAACAGAGAGGAGTTGAAATTAAAAATCAATAGTGCTTTCGAAACTATTAAAAGTGACCCATTCGTATTAAATCGTGTGAAAGACAATATGTGTAAACGTGCCGAACTGTGTATCACACGAGAAGGAGCTCGCTTTGAACATTTGTTAAGGTTAGTGTAGTTATGTAGGTAAATAGGTAGTTTAATGATTGACAATTGTTGTAAATAAGAATGATTCCATTTTTAAATACGCCGGAAATACCAAGATAGGTAAACAGTTCATATTATTTTTCGTGTCAAGGTCACACCATTTACCTAGTCAATAAATTGGTTGCTTAAACGAAAGAAATATCTTGGTATTTTTGCCTGTCCTAAGCCAGGATTAAAGTATGAAGGGAATTGGATCATTTTTGTTTATCTAAGGTCTAATACGCGGCGGCGCGCCTCGTTTGGATGTAGGTAAACTACCGCGCGATAACTACATATGCCTACGTACATAACTGTTTTGTGTCGATAACGCAGCTAGGGTATCCACGCGATCCGTAATTAATTACATAACTTTTGGTTAACTTTACTTAGAAGTTTATTAATATTTATGTTATATTAATTTTTATTTTGTCATATATGATCGTCAACTATCACGTCCTTAAATATTGATAGTAACTCACTAGTCACCCTGTATAAACACGTCATTTTTATTACACTTAAAATATAATAATGATAAAAGAATTGGGTGGTTATGAATGATTTCGCCTGTCTTCTGTTTTATTTGCTGTAAAGGTAGCTAGCAACAATTGCATTCTTTCTGTCTTAAAAAAAAAAACATTATTTACAGTTATAAATATGCAACATACGCATTACGCAATAATGTTTTAATAATTGAATTCCCTTTTACAGGAATACGAATACCAGCTCGAACAGCCTTGTCAATTAATACAAGTGAACAGCCTCCTGGCAAAGATTCCGAGTCTGCTGAACAAAGCTCGAACATTTTGTAAGGACAGCATCGCTAACACGGGCTACCCCGCGCTACTACATGCTTGGACGACTTTGTAGCCTTGGTTATAGAGACAAGTGAACATTTAGGATCTTTGGAGGTAATTCTTTTTTTAAATTCTATGTATAACGAATATTTATTTTATACACGTAAAATTGTTTCAATTTCTATATTGGTTCTTATATAAATGTGAATTGTCATTTCTATTTCATTTAGATAATTTCTAAAAATTAGACTTATATCCGAAAAAAATGTCTTCTGTTACTGCTAAGATTGTAACAAATACAAAACATTTTAATAATAATACTCTATATTGTAGGTGGATTCAACATTGCCGAAGGACAAACAAAAATCTCAAGCCAAAAACATAACGCAGCAGAAGCGTAAAGCTCTATCGGATCTGTTCAAATATTTGAACAAAATCGGCTTGAATTATCGCACGGGTCTCGTTATACATGTATGATTTCACAATACTACCCGTCGATTGGGATGCCGCTATGAGCTATTTGAAAAGCAGGTATTTACAACTATATAACAAAAGCATTCGACGTTGTCCATGTTTTTGTGTGATCACAAATATTTTGTTTTGTGATCACCAATATTTTGTTATTTGTAAAGTATATATTTCTATTTCTTTTTGCTATAAGTGTATTGTTAAAAGTGTAACGGTTATATGATATAATAGAAATAGAAATTAAATCCGCATTATATTGATATTCCATGACATTATAAATAGTGTTAAATAATAATTTGTGCTAAAATTTTAAGTATATACATTTTATTTCCAGAAATATGCTAAAACTCAGAAGAAGTCGATTTCGCGTTATACGAAACATATTTTCGATTTACGAACCGTAGCTACGAGTCTTACAAGCGCGTTAGAAATAGACTCTACAGGATGTAATATAACTTCGCTTGAAGAAATACTCAATGTGTTAGTGAAATGCTACGCTCATACGAGCATTCTTCTAGAACAATTCAATGTCGTTCTGAAGTCTGTCCGGAAAAGATTTGAATACTGATTCTGAGCCAGATTTGGACAAAGTGCTATCAAACTCACCTTTGGCTGATTGTTTCAAGGATAGCGATGAATGGAAGTCTCTTAATAAAAAAGTTAAGTCAATTATATCTCTAGTTGATAAACAAAAGGCACTGTTAAACAAATTATCTCGAAACCTAAAACAAATCGAAGAATCCATTAAGTTACCTCTAGTTTCTCAAAGTCATATAGAAGTTAAGAATAATTTGGACGTTATAATAGAAAAAAGTGAGGAAATTATTACCGAATATGAGTTTGTTTTCAAAACGACGGTCATAGAAGACTTCCACCGCATCATCCAATACTAAGAAGCCTTGAAAATATGGTGGCTTACATTAAAGATATAAAAACAGAACTTGATAAATTGGATGAACCGATAGACCAAGAAATGGATGAAACTGACGGCACAATGTTAGAGCAGACTGAAGATGTTGTGGCTACGATGTTACTCGTGATACAATCGTTGTACAAAAAACATCTGCCGCCAGAGAAACAAGCGGAGAATATGGACGTTATAAACGCTATTGATGAAATTATACATGAAGGTGTAAAAGTTGAAACCAAAGAAATTTTAGAAGATAATCATTTAAAAGAATTACTCCAAGAGAACATGTCCACTGATTCAAGAAATTGCGCGAACTTTTGATTAACTATGTGCAATATATTGCGACTCGGTCTGATGTGGAAGAAGCTAGAACTGTTGTTATGAGATTGGTCCCGATATTGGAGCAAGTTATACTATTTGTCCAATATTTTGTATCCCAAAAAGTTGCTGTGCATAGAGTATCCTGTAAAATGCTGTTAGTGCTTTTGAAGATTTTATTGGATCTGGCATCGAAAGGGTAATTATATCGATATAATTTAGATTAAATATACCACAATGTTAAAATGAATAAGTTGGGATTGCATTTAAATATAAAACTTTATAAATATCTAAAGTACAGAAAATTAATAAAATATTATAAAAACTTTCATTTATTGCCACAAATTAGATAATTTCAATAAGTTGTTCCACTGAAGCTTTTTAATTCAGATTGTACTTACGATTATCCTTAAATAAGTTATTGTTTAAGAATGTTTTAGTCAAGTAATAAATTGAAACTTCCTTTATTTCCTTACAGTTTCTGCCAACACTCAGAACTAGATTCAGAGGAGGGTGAGGGAGAAGGCACTACTGGAGACAGCGGTATGGGACTTGGTGAGGGAGAGGGACAGAAAGATGTCTCTGAACGCGAAGAAAACCAGGTGTGGGAAAGGGATAGATAGAATTATGTTCCCGAAACGAAAGATCATTGACTTTAGCGCTGTAGACAAAATTTATTACACACAAAAAAAAATATTGTTTTTGTTTTCAAAGGATCAATTGGACGACGCGCATAAACCGGGTGAAGAAAAGAACGAACAAGATAAAGATTGCAAGGAAGAAGAGAAGGAGTCAATATGACTGACGACTTTGATTCACAAGACGTCGAACAGAAAGGTTAATAATATAGTCATATAAAATTAAGTTTTAAACATATAAAATAGGGTTGTAAATTAAATAAATGTCCTTTTAAATTCCAGAACAATCAGATGAAGAAAATGATGATGACGATGCCGATAAACAAATGGGAGATACAGATAATGCTGCCGAAAAGTAAGTGAATATCATCATTATTTTTGCCACACATTACAATAATTCTTGTAAAATGTGATCTTTAATGTCGAATATTTTTTAATATGTTTTTAGTCACATGTAAAATTGAAAGCAGAACCAATTTATTTGAAATTGACTAATATTGTTAAATTGTCATAATTGTTATATGTTTCATACTTATATAGTAACTCAAAATCTCCAGGCCATATCGGACAACCAGATCCTGATAGTGATTCTTTGTAGCTGTTATTATATGTTTTCATACTTATATAGTAACTCAAAATCTCCAGGCCATATCGGACAACCAGATCCTGATAGTGATTCTTTGTAGCTGTTATTATATGTTTCATACTTATATAGTAACTCAAAATCTCCAGGCCATATCGGACAACCAGATCCTGATAGTGATTCTTTGTAGCTGTTATTATATGTTTCATACTTATATAGTAACTCAAAATCTCCAGGCCATATCGGACAACCAGATCCTGATAGTGATTCTTTGTAGCTGTTATTATATGTTTCATACTTATATAGTAACTCAAAATCTCCAGGCCATATCGGACAACCAGATCCTGATAGTGATTCTTTGTAGCTGTTATTATATGTTTCATACTTATATAGTAACTCAAAATCTCCAGGCCATATCGGACAACCAGATCCTGATAGTGATTCTTTGTAGCTGTTATTATATGTTTCATACTTATATAGTAACTCAAAATCTCCAGGCCATATCGGACAACCAGATCCTGATAGTGATTCTTTGTAGCTGTTATTATATGTTTCATACTTATATAGTAACTCAAAATCTCCAGGCCATATCGGACAAGCAGATCCTGATAGTGATTCTTTGTAGCTGTTATTATATGTTTCATACTTATATAGTAACTCAAAATCTCCAGGCCATATCGGACAACCAGATCCTGATAGTGATTCTTTGTAGCTGTTATTATATGTTTCATACTTATATAGTAACTCAAAATCTCCAGGCCATATCGGACAACCAGATCCTGATAGTGATTCTTTGTAGCTGTTATTATATGTTTCATACTTATATAGTAACTCAAAATCTCCAGGCCATATCGGACAACCAGATCCTGATAGTGATTCTTTGTAGCTGTTATTATATGTTTCATACTTATATAGTAACTCAAAATCTCCAGGCCATATCGGACAACCAGATCCTGATAGTGATTCTTTGTAGCTGTTATTATATGTTTCATACTTATATAGTAACTCAAAATCTCCAGGCCATATCGGACAAGCAGATCCTGATAGTGATTCTTTGTAGCTGTTATTATATGTTTCATACTTATATAGTAACTCAAAATCTCCAGGCCATATCGGACAACCAGATCCTGATAGTGATTCTTTGTAGCTGTTATTATATGTTTCATACTTATATAGTAACTCAAAATCTCCAGGCCATATCGGACAACCAGATCCTGATAGTGATTCTTTGTAGCTGTTATTATATGTTTCATACTTATATAGTAACTCAAAATCTCCAGGCCATATCGGACAACCAGATCCTGATAGTGATTCTTTGTAGCTGTTATTATATGTTTCATACTTATATAGTAACTCAAAATCTCCAGGCCATATCGGACAAGCAGATCCTGATAGTGATTCTTTGTAGCTGTTATTATATGTTTCATACTTATATAGTAACTCAAAATCTCCAGGCCATATCGGACAACCAGATCCTGATAGTGATTCTTTGTAGCTGTTATTATATGTTTCATACTTATATAGTAACTCAAAATCTCCAGGCCATATCGGACAACCAGATCCTGATAGTGATTCTTTGTAGCTGTTATTATATGTTTCATACTTATATAGTAACTCAAAATCTCCAGGCCATATCGGACAACCAGATCCTGATAGTGATTCTTTGTAGCTGTTATTATATGTTTCATACTTATATAGTAACTCAAAATCTCCAGGCCATATCGGACAACCAGATCCTGATAGTGATTCTTTGTAGCTGTTATTATATGTTTCATACTTATATAGTAACTCAAAATCTCCAGGCCATATCGGACAACCAGATCCTGATAGTGATTCTTTGTAGCTGTTATTATATGTTTCATACTTATATAGTAACTCAAAATCTCCAGGCCATATCGGACAACCAGATCCTGATAGTGATTCTTTGTAGCTGTTATTATATGTTTCATACTTATATAGTAACTCAAAATCTCCAGGCCATATCGGACAAGCAGATCCTGATAGTGATTCTTTGTAGCTGTTATTATATGTTTCATACTTATATAGTAACTCAAAATCTCCAGGCCATATCGGACAACCAGATCCTGATAGTGATTCTTTGTAGCTGTTATTATATGTTTCATACTTATATAGTAACTCAAAATCTCCAGGCCATATCGGACAACCAGATCCTGATAGTGATTCTTTGTAGCTGTTATTATATGTTTCATACTTATATAGTAACTCAAAATCTCCAGGCCATATCGGACAACCAGATCCTGATAGTGATTCTTTGTAGCTGTTATTATATGTTTCATACTTATATAGTAACTCAAAATCTCCAGGCCATATCGGACAACCAGATCCTGATAGTGATTCTTTGTAGCTGTTATTATATGTTTCATACTTATATAGTAACTCAAAATCTCCAGGCCATATCGGACAACCAGATCCTGATAGTGATTCTTTGTAGCTGTTATTATATGTTTCATACTTATATAGTAACTCAAAATCTCCAGGCCATATCGGACAACCAGATCCTGATAGTGATTCTTTGTAGCTGTTATTATATGTTTCATACTTATATAGTAACTCAAAATCTCCAGGCCATATCGGACAACCAGATCCTGATAGTGATTCTTTGTAGCTGTTATTATATGTTTCATACTTATATAGTAACTCAAAATCTCCAGGCCATATCGGACAAGCAGATCCTGATAGTGATTCTTTGTAGCTGTTATTATATGTTTCATACTTATATAGTAACTCAAAATCTCCAGGCCATATCGGACAACCAGATCCTGATAGTGATTCTTTGTAGCTGTTATTATATGTTTCATACTTATATAGTAACTCAAAATCTCCAGGCCATATCGGACAACCAGATCCTGATAGTGATTCTTTGTAGCTGTTATTATATGTTTCATACTTATATAGTAACTCAAAATCTCCAGGCCATATCGGACAACCAGATCCTGATAGTGATTCTTTGTAGCTGTTATTATATGTTTCATACTTATATAGTAACTCAAAATCTCCAGGCCATATCGGACAACCAGATCCTGATAGTGATTCTTTGTAGCTGTTATTATATGTTTCATACTTATATAGTAACTCAAAATCTCCAGGCCATATCGGACAACCAGATCCTGATAGTGATTCTTTGTAGCTGTTATTATATGTTTCATACTTATATAGTAACTCAAAATCTCCAGGCCATATCGGACAACCAGATCCTGATAGTGATTCTTTGTAGCTGTTATTATATGTTTCATACTTATATAGTAACTCAAAATCTCCAGGCCATATCGGACAACCAGATCCTGATAGTGATTCTTTGTAGCTGTTATTATATGTTTCATACTTATATAGTAACTCAAAATCTCCAGGCCATATCGGACAACCAGATCCTGATAGTGATTCTTTGTAGCTGTTATTATATGTTTCATACTTATATAGTAACTCAAAATCTCCAGGCCATATCGGACAACCAGATCCTGATAGTGATTCTTTGTAGCTGTTATTATATGTTTCATACTTATATAGTAACTCAAAATCTCCAGGCCATATCGGACAACCAGATCCTGATAGTGATTCTTTGTAGCTGTTATTATATGTTTCATACTTATATAGTAACTCAAAATCTCCAGGCCATATCGGACAACCAGATCCTGATAGTGATTCTTTGTAGCTGTTATTATATGTTTCATACTTATATAGTAACTCAAAATCTCCAGGCCATATCGGACAACCAGATCCTGATAGTGATTCTTTGTAGCTGTTATTATATGTTTCATACTTATATAGTAACTCAAAATCTCCAGGCCATATCGGACAACCAGATCCTGATAGTGATTCTTTGTAGCTGTTATTATATGTTTCATACTTATATAGTAACTCAAAATCTCCAGGCCATATCGGACAACCAGATCCTGATAGTGATTCTTTGTAGCTGTTATTATATGTTTCATACTTATATAGTAACTCAAAATCTCCAGGCCATATCGGACAACCAGATCCTGATAGTGATTCTTTGTAGCTGTTATTATATGTTTCATACTTATATAGTAACTCAAAATCTCCAGGCCATATCGGACAACCAGATCCTGATAGTGATTCTTTGTAGCTGTTATTATATGTTTCATACTTATATAGTAACTCAAAATCTCCAGGCCATATCGGACAACCAGATCCTGATAGTGATTCTTTGTAGCTGTTATTATATGTTTCATACTTATATAGTAACTCAAAATCTCCAGGCCATATCGGACAACCAGATCCTGATAGTGATTCTTTGTAGCTGTTATTATATGTTTCATACTTATATAGTAACTCAAAATCTCCAGGCCATATCGGACAACCAGATCCTGATAGTGATTCTTTGTAGCTGTTATTATATGTTTCATACTTATATAGTAACTCAAAATCTCCAGGCCATATCGGACAACCAGATCCTGATAGTGATTCTTTGTAGCTGTTATTATATGTTTCATACTTATATAGTAACTCAAAATCTCCAGGCCATATCGGACAACCAGATCCTGATAGTGATTCTTTGTAGCTGTTCATTATATGTTTCATACTTATATAGTAACTCAAAATCTCCAGGCCATATCGGACAACCAGATCCTGATAGTGATTCTTTGTAGCTGTTATTATATGTTTCATACTTATATAGTAACTCAAAATCTCCAGGCCATATCGGACAACCAGATCCTGATAGTGATTCTTTGTAGCTGTTATTATATGTTTCATACTTATATAGTAACTCAAAATCTCCAGGCCATATCGGACAACCAGATCCTGATAGTGATTCTTTGTAGCTGTTATTATATGTTTCATACTTATATAGTAACTCAAAATCTCCAGGCCATATCGGACAACCAGATCCTGATAGTGATTCTTTGTAGCTGTTATTATATGTTTCATACTTATATAGTAACTCAAAATCTCCAGGCCATATCGGACAACCAGATCCTGATAGTGATTCTTTGTAGCTGTTATTATATGTTTCATACTTATATAGTAACTCAAAATCTCCAGGCCATATCGGACAACCAGATCCTGATAGTGATTCTTTGTAGCTGTTATTATATGTTTCATACTTATATAGTAACTCAAAATCTCCAGGCCATATCGGACAACCAGATCCTGATAGTGATTCTTTGTAGCTGTTATTATATGTTTCATACTTATATAGTAACTCAAAATCTCCAGGCCATATCGGACAACCAGATCCTGATAGTGATTCTTTGTAGCTGTTATTATATGTTTCATACTTATATAGTAACTCAAAATCTCCAGGCCATATCGGACAACCAGATCCTGATAGTGATTCTTTGTAGCTGTTATTATATGTTTCATACTTATATAGTAACTCAAAATCTCCAGGCCATATCGGACAACCAGATCCTGATAGTGATTCTTTGTAGCTGTTATTATATGTTTCATACTTATATAGTAACTCAAAATCTCCAGGCCATATCGGACAACCAGATCCTGATAGTGATTCTTTGTAGCTGTTATTATATGTTTCATACTTATATAGTAACTCAAAATCTCCAGGCCATATCGGACAACCAGATCCTGATAGTGATTCTTTGTAGCTGTTATTATATGTTTCATACTTATATAGTAACTCAAAATCTCCAGGCCATATCGGACAACCAGATCCTGATAGTGATTCTTTGTAGCTGTTATTATATGTTTCATACTTATATAGTAACTCAAAATCTCCAGGCCATATCGGACAACCAGATCCTGATAGTGATTCTTTGTAGCTGTTATTATATGTTTCATACTTATATAGTAACTCAAAATCTCCAGGCCATATCGGACAACCAGATCCTGATAGTGATTCTTTGTAGCTGTTATTATATGTTTCATACTTATATAGTAACTCAAAATCTCCAGGCCATATCGGACAACCAGATCCTGATAGTGATTCTTTGTAGCTGTTATTATATGTTTCATACTTATATAGTAACTCAAAATCTCCAGGCCATATCGGACAACCAGATCCTGATAGTGATTCTTTGTAGCTGTTATTATATGTTTCATACTTATATAGTAACTCAAAATCTCCAGGCCATATCGGACAACCAGATCCTGATAGTGATTCTTTGTAGCTGTTATTATATGTTTCATACTTATATAGTAACTCAAAATCTCCAGGCCATATCGGACAACCAGATCCTGATAGTGATTCTTTGTAGCTGTTATTATATGTTTCATACTTATATAGTAACTCAAAATCTCCAGGCCATATCGGACAACCAGATCCTGATAGTGATTCTTTGTAGCTGTTATTATATGTTTCATACTTATATAGTAACTCAAAATCTCCAGGCCATATCGGACAACCAGATCCTGATAGTGATTCTTTGTAGCTGTTATTATATGTTTCATACTTATATAGTAACTCAAAATCTCCAGGCCATATCGGACAACCAGATCCTGATAGTGATTCTTTGTAGCTGTTATTATATGTTTCATACTTATATAGTAACTCAAAATCTCCAGGCCATATCGGACAACCAGATCCTGATAGTGATTCTTTGTAGCTGTTATTATATGTTTCATACTTATATAGTAACTCAAAATCTCCAGGCCATATCGGACAACCAGATCCTGATAGTGATTCTTTGTAGCTGTTATTATATGTTTCATACTTATATAGTAACTCAAAATCTCCAGGCCATATCGGACAACCAGATCCTGATAGTGATTCTTTGTAGCTGTTATTATATGTTTCATACTTATATAGTAACTCAAAATCTCCAGGCCATATCGGACAAGCAGATCCTGATAGTGATTCTTTGTAGCTGTTATTATATGTTTCATACTTATATAGTAACTCAAAATCTCCAGGCCATATCGGACAAGCAGATCCTGATAGTGATTCTTTGTAGCTGTTATTATATGTTTCATACTTATATAGTAACTCAAAATCTCCAGGCCATATCGGACAAGCAGATCCTGATAGTGATTCTTTGTAGCTGTTATTATATGTTTCATACTTATATAGTAACTCAAAATCTCCAGGCCATATCGGACAAGCAGATCCTGATAGTGATTCTTTGTAGCTGTTATTATATGTTTCATACTTATATAGTAACTCAAAATCTCCAGGCCATATCGGACAAGCAGATCCTGATAGTGATTCTTTGTAGCTGTTATTATATGTTTCATACTTATATAGTAACTCAAAATCTCCAGGCCATATCGGACAACCAGATCCTGATAGTGATTCTTTGTAGCTGTTATTATATGTTTCATACTTATATAGTAACTCAAAATCTCCAGGCCATATCGGACAACCAGATCCTGATAGTGATTCTTTGTAGCTGTTATTATATGTTTCATACTTATATAGTAACTCAAAATCTCCAGGCCATATCGGACAACCAGATCCTGATAGTGATTCTTTGTAGCTGTTATTATATGTTTCATACTTATATAGTAACTCAAAATCTCCAGGCCATATCGGACAAGCAGATCCTGATAGTGATTCTTTGTAGCTGTTATTATATGTTTCATACTTATATAGTAACTCAAAATCTCCAGGCCATATCGGACAACCAGATCCTGATAGTGATTCTTTGTAGCTGTTATTATATGTTTCATACTTATATAGTAACTCAAAATCTCCAGGCCATATCGGACAACCAGATCCTGATAGTGATTCTTTGTAGCTGTTATTATATGTTTCATACTTATATAGTAACTCAAAATCTCCAGGCCATATCGGACAACCAGATCCTGATAGTGATTCTTTGTAGCTGTTATTATATGTTTCATACTTATATAGTAACTCAAAATCTCCAGGCCATATCGGACAAGCAGATCCTGATAGTGATTCTTTGTAGCTGTTATTATATGTTTCATACTTATATAGTAACTCAAAATCTCCAGGCCATATCGGACAAGCAGATCCTGATAGTGATTCTTTGTAGCTGTTATTATATGTTTCATACTTATATAGTAACTCAAAATCTCCAGGCCATATCGGACAAGCAGATCCTGATAGTGATTCTTTGTAGCTGTTATTATATGTTTCATACTTATATAGTAACTCAAAATCTCCAGGCCATATCGGACAAGCAGATCCTGATAGTGATTCTTTGTAGCTGTTATTATATGTTTCATACTTATATAGTAACTCAAAATCTCCAGGCCATATCGGACAAGCAGATCCTGATAGTGATTCTTTGTAGCTGTTATTATATGTTTCATACTTATATAGTAACTCAAAATCTCCAGGCCATATCGGACAAGCAGATCCTGATAGTGATTCTTTGTAGCTGTTATTATATGTTTCATACTTATATAGTAACTCAAAATCTCCAGGCCATATCGGACAAGCAGATCCTGATAGTGATTCTTTGTAGCTGTTATTATATGTTTCATACTTATATAGTAACTCAAAATCTCCAGGCCATATCGGACAACCAGATCCTGATAGTGATTCTTTGTAGCTGTTATTATATGTTTCATACTTATATAGTAACTCAAAATCTCCAGGCCATATCGGACAAGCAGATCCTGATAGTGATTCTTTGTAGCTGTTATTATATGTTTCATACTTATATAGTAACTCAAAATCTCCAGGCCATATCGGACAAGCAGATCCTGATAGTGATTCTTTGTAGCTGTTATTATATGTTTCATACTTATATAGTAACTCAAAATCTCCAGGCCATATCGGACAAGCAGATCCTGATAGTGATTCTTTGTAGCTGTTATTATATGTTTCATACTTATATAGTAACTCAAAATCTCCAGGCCATATCGGACAAGCAGATCCTGATAGTGATTCTTTGTAGCTGTTATTATATGTTTCATACTTATATAGTAACTCAAAATCTCCAGGCCATATCGGACAAGCAGATCCTGATAGTGATTCTTTGTAGCTGTTATTATATGTTTCATACTTATATAGTAACTCAAAATCTCCAGGCCATATCGGACAAGCAGATCCTGATAGTGATTCTTTGTAGCTGTTATTATATGTTTCATACTTATATAGTAACTCAAAATCTCCAGGCCATATCGGACAAGCAGATCCTGATAGTGATTCTTTGTAGCTGTTATTATATGTTTCATACTTATATAGTAACTCAAAATCTCCAGGCCATATCGGACAACCAGATCCTGATAGTGATTCTTTGTAGCTGTTATTATATGTTTCATACTTATATAGTAACTCAAAATCTCCAGGCCATATCGGACAAGCAGATCCTGATAGTGATTCTTTGTAGCTGTTATTATATGTTTCATACTTATATAGTAACTCAAAATCTCCAGGCCATATCGGACAACCAGATCCTGATAGTGATTCTTTGTAGCTGTTATTATATGTTTCATACTTATATAGTAACTCAAAATCTCCAGGCCATATCGGACAACCAGATCCTGATAGTGATTCTTTGTAGCTGTTATTATATGTTTCATACTTATATAGTAACTCAAAATCTCCAGGCCATATCGGACAAGCAGATCCTGATAGTGATTCTTTGTAGCTGTTATTATATGTTTCATACTTATATAGTAACTCAAAATCTCCAGGCCATATCGGACAAGCAGATCCTGATAGTGATTCTTTGTAGCTGTTATTATATGTTTCATACTTATATAGTAACTCAAAATCTCCAGGCCATATCGGACAAGCAGATCCTGATAGTGATTCTTTGTAGCTGTTATTATATGTTTCATACTTATATAGTAACTCAAAATCTCCAGGCCATATCGGACAAGCAGATCCTGATAGTGATTCTTTGTAGCTGTTATTATATGTTTCATACTTATATAGTAACTCAAAATCTCCAGGCCATATCGGACAAGCAGATCCTGATAGTGATTCTTTGTAGCTGTTATTATATGTTTCATACTTATATAGTAACTCAAAATCTCCAGGCCATATCGGACAAGCAGATCCTGATAGTGATTCTTTGTAGCTGTTATTATATGTTTCATACTTATATAGTAACTCAAAATCTCCAGGCCATATCGGACAAGCAGATCCTGATAGTGATTCTTTGTAGCTGTTATTATATGTTTCATACTTATATAGTAACTCAAAATCTCCAGGCCATATCGGACAAGCAGATCCTGATAGTGATTCTTTGTAGCTGTTATTATATGTTTCATACTTATATAGTAACTCAAAATCTCCAGGCCATATCGGACAACCAGATCCTGATAGTGATTCTTTGTAGCTGTTATTATATGTTTCATACTTATATAGTAACTCAAAATCTCCAGGCCATATCGGACAACCAGATCCTGATAGTGATTCTTTGTAGCTGTTATTATATGTTTCATACTTATATAGTAACTCAAAATCTCCAGGCCATATCGGACAACCAGATCCTGATAGTGATTCTTTGTAGCTGTTATTATATGTTTCATACTTATATAGTAACTCAAAATCTCCAGGCCATATCGGACAACCAGATCCTGATAGTGATTCTTTGTAGCTGTTATTATATGTTTCATACTTATATAGTAACTCAAAATCTCCAGGCCATATCGGACAACCAGATCCTGATAGTGATTCTTTGTAGCTGTTATTATATGTTTCATACTTATATAGTAACTCAAAATCTCCAGGCCATATCGGACAACCAGATCCTGATAGTGATTCTTTGTAGCTGTTATTATATGTTTCATACTTATATAGTAACTCAAAATCTCCAGGCCATATCGGACAAGCAGATCCTGATAGTGATTCTTTGTAGCTGTTATTATATGTTTCATACTTATATAGTAACTCAAAATCTCCAGGCCATATCGGACAAGCAGATCCTGATAGTGATTCTTTGTAGCTGTTATTATATGTTTCATACTTATATAGTAACTCAAAATCTCCAGGCCATATCGGACAACCAGATCCTGATAGTGATTCTTTGTAGCTGTTATTATATGTTTCATACTTATATAGTAACTCAAAATCTCCAGGCCATATCGGACAACCAGATCCTGATAGTGATTCTTTGTAGCTGTTATTATATGTTTCATACTTATATAGTAACTCAAAATCTCCAGGCCATATCGGACAACCAGATCCTGATAGTGATTCTTTGTAGCTGTTATTATATGTTTCATACTTATATAGTAACTCAAAATCTCCAGGCCATATCGGACAACCAGATCCTGATAGTGATTCTTTGTAGCTGTTATTATATGTTTCATACTTATATAGTAACTCAAAATCTCCAGGCCATATCGGACAACCAGATCCTGATAGTGATTCTTTGTAGCTGTTATTATATGTTTCATACTTATATAGTAACTCAAAATCTCCAGGCCATATCGGACAACCAGATCCTGATAGTGATTCTTTGTAGCTGTTATTATATGTTTCATACTTATATAGTAACTCAAAATCTCCAGGCCATATCGGACAACCAGATCCTGATAGTGATTCTTTGTAGCTGTTATTATATGTTTCATACTTATATAGTAACTCAAAATCTCCAGGCCATATCGGACAACCAGATCCTGATAGTGATTCTTTGTAGCTGTTATTATATGTTTCATACTTATATAGTAACTCAAAATCTCCAGGCCATATCGGACAAGCAGATCCTGATAGTGATTCTTTGTAGCTGTTATTATATGTTTCATACTTATATAGTAACTCAAAATCTCCAGGCCATATCGGACAAGCAGATCCTGATAGTGATTCTTTGTAGCTGTTATTATATGTTTCATACTTATATAGTAACTCAAAATCTCCAGGCCATATCGGACAACCAGATCCTGATAGTGATTCTTTGTAGCTGTTATTATATGTTTCATACTTATATAGTAACTCAAAATCTCCAGGCCATATCGGACAACCAGATCCTGATAGTGATTCTTTGTAGCTGTTATTATATGTTTCATACTTATATAGTAACTCAAAATCTCCAGGCCATATCGGACAACCAGATCCTGATAGTGATTCTTTGTAGCTGTTATTATATGTTTCATACTTATATAGTAACTCAAAATCTCCAGGCCATATCGGACAACCAGATCCTGATAGTGATTCTTTGTAGCTGTTATTATATGTTTCATACTTATATAGTAACTCAAAATCTCCAGGCCATATCGGACAACCAGATCCTGATAGTGATTCTTTGTAGCTGTTATTATATGTTTCATACTTATATAGTAACTCAAAATCTCCAGGCCATATCGGACAAGCAGATCCTGATAGTGATTCTTTGTAGCTGTTATTATATGTTTCATACTTATATAGTAACTCAAAATCTCCAGGCCATATCGGACAAGCAGATCCTGATAGTGATTCTTTGTAGCTGTTATTATATGTTTCATACTTATATAGTAACTCAAAATCTCCAGGCCATATCGGACAACCAGATCCTGATAGTGATTCTTTGTAGCTGTTATTATATGTTTCATACTTATATAGTAACTCAAAATCTCCAGGCCATATCGGACAACCAGATCCTGATAGTGATTCTTTGTAGCTGTTATTATATGTTTCATACTTATATAGTAACTCAAAATCTCCAGGCCATATCGGACAACCAGATCCTGATAGTGATTCTTTGTAGCTGTTATTATATGTTTCATACTTATATAGTAACTCAAAATCTCCAGGCCATATCGGACAACCAGATCCTGATAGTGATTCTTTGTAGCTGTTATTATATGTTTCATACTTATATAGTAACTCAAAATCTCCAGGCCATATCGGACAACCAGATCCTGATAGTGATTCTTTGTAGCTGTTATTATATGTTTCATACTTATATAGTAACTCAAAATCTCCAGGCCATATCGGACAACCAGATCCTGATAGTGATTCTTTGTAGCTGTTATTATATGTTTCATACTTATATAGTAACTCAAAATCTCCAGGCCATATCGGACAACCAGATCCTGATAGTGATTCTTTGTAGCTGTTATTATATGTTTCATACTTATATAGTAACTCAAAATCTCCAGGCCATATCGGACAACCAGATCCTGATAGTGATTCTTTGTAGCTGTTATTATATGTTTCATACTTATATAGTAACTCAAAATCTCCAGGCCATATCGGACAACCAGATCCTGATAGTGATTCTTTGTAGCTGTTATTATATGTTTCATACTTATATAGTAACTCAAAATCTCCAGGCCATATCGGACAACCAGATCCTGATAGTGATTCTTTGTAGCTGTTATTATATGTTTCATACTTATATAGTAACTCAAAATCTCCAGGCCATATCGGACAACCAGATCCTGATAGTGATTCTTTGTAGCTGTTATTATATGTTTCATACTTATATAGTAACTCAAAATCTCCAGGCCATATCGGACAAGCAGATCCTGATAGTGATTCTTTGTAGCTGTTATTATATGTTTCATACTTATATAGTAACTCAAAATCTCCAGGCCATATCGGACAAACCAGATCCTGATAGTGATTCTTTGTAGCTGTTATTATATGTTTCATACTTATATAGTAACTCAAAATCTCCAGGCCATATCGGACAACCAGATCCTGATAGTGATTCTTTGTAGCTGTTATTATATGTTTCATACTTATATAGTAACTCAAAATCTCCAGGCCATATCGGACAACCAGATCCTGATAGTGATTCTTTGTAGCTGTTATTATATGTTTCATACTTATATAGTAACTCAAAATCTCCAGGCCATATCGGACAACCAGATCCTGATAGTGATTCTTTGTAGCTGTTATTATATGTTTCATACTTATATAGTAACTCAAAATCTCCAGGCCATATCGGACAACCAGATCCTGATAGTGATTCTTTGTAGCTGTTATTATATGTTTCATACTTATATAGTAACTCAAAATCTCCAGGCCATATCGGACAACCAGATCCTGATAGTGATTCTTTGTAGCTGTTATTATATGTTTCATACTTATATAGTAACTCAAAATCTCCAGGCCATATCGGACAACCAGATCCTGATAGTGATTCTTTGTAGCTGTTATTATATGTTTCATACTTATATAGTAACTCAAAATCTCCAGGCCATATCGGACAACCAGATCCTGATAGTGATTCTTTGTAGCTGTTATTATATGTTTCATACTTATATAGTAACTCAAAATCTCCAGGCCATATCGGACAACCAGATCCTGATAGTGATTCTTTGTAGCTGTTATTATATGTTTCATACTTATATAGTAACTCAAAATCTCCAGGCCATATCGGACAACCAGATCCTGATAGTGATTCTTTGTAGCTGTTATTATATGTTTCATACTTATATAGTAACTCAAAATCTCCAGGCCATATCGGACAACCAGATCCTGATAGTGATTCTTTGTAGCTGTTATTATATGTTTCATACTTATATAGTAACTCAAAATCTCCAGGCCATATCGGACAAGCAGATCCTGATAGTGATTCTTTGTAGCTGTTATTATATGTTTCATACTTATATAGTAACTCAAAATCTCCAGGCCATATCGGACAAGCAGATCCTGATAGTGATTCTTTGTAGCTGTTATTATATGTTTCATACTTATATAGTAACTCAAAATCTCCAGGCCATATCGGACAAGCAGATCCTGATAGTGATTCTTTGTAGCTGTTATTATATGTTTCATACTTATATAGTAACTCAAAATCTCCAGGCCATATCGGACAAGCAGATCCTGATAGTGATTCTTTGTAGCTGTTATTATATGTTTCATACTTATATAGTAACTCAAAATCTCCAGGCCATATCGGACAAGCAGATCCTGATAGTGATTCTTTGTAGCTGTTATTATATGTTTCATACTTATATAGTAACTCAAAATCTCCAGGCCATATCGGACAACCAGATCCTGATAGTGATTCTTTGTAGCTGTTATTATATGTTTCATACTTATATAGTAACTCAAAATCTCCAGGCCATATCGGACAACCAGATCCTGATAGTGATTCTTTGTAGCTGTTATTATATGTTTCATACTTATATAGTAACTCAAAATCTCCAGGCCATATCGGACAACCAGATCCTGATAGTGATTCTTTGTAGCTGTTATTATATGTTTCATACTTATATAGTAACTCAAAATCTCCAGGCCATATCGGACAACCAGATCCTGATAGTGATTCTTTGTAGCTGTTATTATATGTTTCATACTTATATAGTAACTCAAAATCTCCAGGCCATATCGGACAACCAGATCCTGATAGTGATTCTTTGTAGCTGTTATTATATGTTTCATACTTATATAGTAACTCAAAATCTCCAGGCCATATCGGACAACCAGATCCTGATAGTGATTCTTTGTAGCTGTTATTATATGTTTCATACTTATATAGTAACTCAAAATCTCCAGGCCATATCGGACAACCAGATCCTGATAGTGATTCTTTGTAGCTGTTATTATATGTTTCATACTTATATAGTAACTCAAAATCTCCAGGCCATATCGGACAAGCAGATCCTGATAGTGATTCTTTGTAGCTGTTATTATATGTTTCATACTTATATAGTAACTCAAAATCTCCAGGCCATATCGGACAACCAGATCCTGATAGTGATTCTTTGTAGCTGTTATTATATGTTTCATACTTATATAGTAACTCAAAATCTCCAGGCCATATCGGACAACCAGATCCTGATAGTGATTCTTTGTAGCTGTTATTATATGTTTCATACTTATATAGTAACTCAAAATCTCCAGGCCATATCGGACAACCAGATCCTGATAGTGATTCTTTGTAGCTGTTATTATATGTTTCATACTTATATAGTAACTCAAAATCTCCAGGCCATATCGGACAACCAGATCCTGATAGTGATTCTTTGTAGCTGTTATTATATGTTTCATACTTATATAGTAACTCAAAATCTCCAGGCCATATCGGACAACCAGATCCTGATAGTGATTCTTTGTAGCTGTTATTATATGTTTCATACTTATATAGTAACTCAAAATCTCCAGGCCATATCGGACAACCAGATCCTGATAGTGATTCTTTGTAGCTGTTATTATATGTTTCATACTTATATAGTAACTCAAAATCTCCAGGCCATATCGGACAACCAGATCCTGATAGTGATTCTTTGTAGCTGTTATTATATGTTTCATACTTATATAGTAACTCAAAATCTCCAGGCCATATCGGACAACCAGATCCTGATAGTGATTCTTTGTAGCTGTTATTATATGTTTCATACTTATATAGTAACTCAAAATCTCCAGGCCATATCGGACAACCAGATCCTGATAGTGATTCTTTGTAGCTGTTATTATATGTTTCATACTTATATAGTAACTCAAAATCTCCAGGCCATATCGGACAACCAGATCCTGATAGTGATTCTTTGTAGCTGTTATTATATGTTTCATACTTATATAGTAACTCAAAATCTCCAGGCCATATCGGACAACCAGATCCTGATAGTGATTCTTTGTAGCTGTTATTATATGTTTCATACTTATATAGTAACTCAAAATCTCCAGGCCATATCGGACAACCAGATCCTGATAGTGATTCTTTGTAGCTGTTATTATATGTTTCATACTTATATAGTAACTCAAAATCTCCAGGCCATATCGGACAACCAGATCCTGATAGTGATTCTTTGTAGCTGTTATTATATGTTTCATACTTATATAGTAACTCAAAATCTCCAGGCCATATCGGACAACCAGATCCTGATAGTGATTCTTTGTAGCTGTTATTATATGTTTCATACTTATATAGTAACTCAAAAAAATCTCCAGGCCATATCGGACAACCAGATCCTGATAGTGATTCTTTGTAGCTGTTATTATATGTTTCATACTTATATAGTAACTCAAAATCTCCAGGCCATATCGGACAAGCAGATCCTGATAGTGATTCTTTGTAGCTGTTATTATATGTTTCATACTTATATAGTAACTCAAAATCTCCAGGCCATATCGGACAAGCAGATCCTGATAGTGATTCTTTGTAGCTGTTATTATATGTTTCATACTTATATAGTAACTCAAAATCTCCAGGCCATATCGGACAAGCAGATCCTGATAGTGATTCTTTGTAGCTGTTATTATATGTTTCATACTTATATAGTAACTCAAAATCTCCAGGCCATATCGGACAACCAGATCCTGATAGTGATTCTTTGTAGCTGTTATTATATGTTTCATACTTATATAGTAACTCAAAATCTCCAGGCCATATCGGACAACCAGATCCTGATAGTGATTCTTTGTAGCTGTTATTATATGTTTCATACTTATATAGTAACTCAAAATCTCCAGGCCATATCGGACAACCAGATCCTGATAGTGATTCTTTGTAGCTGTTATTATATGTTTCATACTTATATAGTAACTCAAAATCTCCAGGCCATATCGGACAACCAGATCCTGATAGTGATTCTTTGTAGCTGTTATTATATGTTTCATACTTATATAGTAACTCAAAATCTCCAGGCCATATCGGACAAGCAGATCCTGATAGTGATTCTTTGTAGCTGTTATTATATGTTTCATACTTATATAGTAACTCAAAATCTCCAGGCCATATCGGACAAGCAGATCCTGATAGTGATTCTTTGTAGCTGTTATTATATGTTTCATACTTATATAGTAACTCAAAATCTCCAGGCCATATCGGACAACCAGATCCTGATAGTGATTCTTTGTAGCTGTTATTATATGTTTCATACTTATATAGTAACTCAAAATCTCCAGGCCATATCGGACAACCAGATCCTGATAGTGATTCTTTGTAGCTGTTATTATATGTTTCATACTTATATAGTAACTCAAAATCTCCAGGCCATATCGGACAACCAGATCCTGATAGTGATTCTTTGTAGCTGTTATTATATGTTTCATACTTATATAGTAACTCAAAATCTCCAGGCCATATCGGACAACCAGATCCTGATAGTGATTCTTTGTAGCTGTTATTATATGTTTCATACTTATATAGTAACTCAAAATCTCCAGGCCATATCGGACAACCAGATCCTGATAGTGATTCTTTGTAGCTGTTATTATATGTTTCATACTTATATAGTAACTCAAAATCTCCAGGCCATATCGGACAAGCAGATCCTGATAGTGATTCTTTGTAGCTGTTATTATATGTTTCATACTTATATAGTAACTCAAAATCTCCAGGCCATATCGGACAACCAGATCCTGATAGTGATTCTTTGTAGCTGTTATTATATGTTTCATACTTATATAGTAACTCAAAATCTCCAGGCCATATCGGACAAGCAGATCCTGATAGTGATTCTTTGTAGCTGTTATTATATGTTTCATACTTATATAGTAACTCAAAATCTCCAGGCCATATCGGACAAGCAGATCCTGATAGTGATTCTTTGTAGCTGTTATTATATGTTTCATACTTATATAGTAACTCAAAATCTCCAGGCCATATCGGACAAGCAGATCCTGATAGTGATTCTTTGTAGCTGTTATTATATGTTTCATACTTATATAGTAACTCAAAATCTCCAGGCCATATCGGACAACCAGATCCTGATAGTGATTCTTTGTAGCTGTTATTATATGTTTCATACTTATATAGTAACTCAAAATCTCCAGGCCATATCGGACAACCAGATCCTGATAGTGATTCTTTGTAGCTGTTATTATATGTTTCATACTTATATAGTAACTCAAAATCTCCAGGCCATATCGGACAACCAGATCCTGATAGTGATTCTTTGTAGCTGTTATTATATGTTTCATACTTATATAGTAACTCAAAATCTCCAGGCCATATCGGACAACCAGATCCTGATAGTGATTCTTTGTAGCTGTTATTATATGTTTCATACTTATATAGTAACTCAAAATCTCCAGGCCATATCGGACAACCAGATCCTGATAGTGATTCTTTGTAGCTGTTATTATATGTTTCATACTTATATAGTAACTCAAAATCTCCAGGCCATATCGGACAACCAGATCCTGATAGTGATTCTTTGTAGCTGTTATTATATGTTTCATACTTATATAGTAACTCAAAATCTCCAGGCCATATCGGACAACCAGATCCTGATAGTGATTCTTTGTAGCTGTTATTATATGTTTCATACTTATATAGTAACTCAAAATCTCCAGGCCATATCGGACAACCAGATCCTGATAGTGATTCTTTGTAGCTGTTATTATATGTTTCATACTTATATAGTAACTCAAAATCTCCAGGCCATATCGGACAACCAGATCCTGATAGTGATTCTTTGTAGCTGTTATTATATGTTTCATACTTATATAGTAACTCAAAATCTCCAGGCCATATCGGACAAGCAGATCCTGATAGTGATTCTTTGTAGCTGTTATTATATGTTTCATACTTATATAGTAACTCAAAATCTCCAGGCCATATCGGACAACCAGATCCTGATAGTGATTCTTTGTAGCTGTTATTATATGTTTCATACTTATATAGTAACTCAAAATCTCCAGGCCATATCGGACAACCAGATCCTGATAGTGATTCTTTGTAGCTGTTATTATATGTTTCATACTTATATAGTAACTCAAAATCTCCAGGCCATATCGGACAACCAGATCCTGATAGTGATTCTTTGTAGCTGTTATTATATGTTTCATACTTATATAGTAACTCAAAATCTCCAGGCCATATCGGACAACCAGATCCTGATAGTGATTCTTTGTAGCTGTTATTATATGTTTCATACTTATATAGTAACTCAAAATCTCCAGGCCATATCGGACAAGCAGATCCTGATAGTGATTCTTTGTAGCTGTTATTATATGTTTCATACTTATATAGTAACTCAAAATCTCCAGGCCATATCGGACAAGCAGATCCTGATAGTGATTCTTTGTAGCTGTTATTATATGTTTCATACTTATATAGTAACTCAAAATCTCCAGGCCATATCGGACAAGCAGATCCTGATAGTGATTCTTTGTAGCTGTTATTATATGTTTCATACTTATATAGTAACTCAAAATCTCCAGGCCATATCGGACAAGCAGATCCTGATAGTGATTCTTTGTAGCTGTTATTATATGTTTCATACTTATATAGTAACTCAAAATCTCCAGGCCATATCGGACAAGCAGATCCTGATAGTGATTCTTTGTAGCTGTTATTATATGTTTCATACTTATATAGTAACTCAAAATCTCCAGGCCATATCGGACAAGCAGATCCTGATAGTGATTCTTTGTAGCTGTTATTATATGTTTCATACTTATATAGTAACTCAAAATCTCCAGGCCATATCGGACAAGCAGATCCTGATAGTGATTCTTTGTAGCTGTTATTATATGTTTCATACTTATATAGTAACTCAAAATCTCCAGGCCATATCGGACAAGCAGATCCTGATAGTGATTCTTTGTAGCTGTTATTATATGTTTCATACTTATATAGTAACTCAAAATCTCCAGGCCATATCGGACAACCAGATCCTGATAGTGATTCTTTGTAGCTGTTATTATATGTTTCATACTTATATAGTAACTCAAAATCTCCAGGCCATATCGGACAACCAGATCCTGATAGTGATTCTTTGTAGCTGTTATTATATGTTTCATACTTATATAGTAACTCAAAATCTCCAGGCCATATCGGACAACCAGATCCTGATAGTGATTCTTTGTAGCTGTTATTATATGTTTCATACTTATATAGTAACTCAAAATCTCCAGGCCATATCGGACAACCAGATCCTGATAGTGATTCTTTGTAGCTGTTATTATATGTTTCATACTTATATAGTAACTCAAAATCTCCAGGCCATATCGGACAACCAGATCCTGATAGTGATTCTTTGTAGCTGTTATTATATGTTTCATACTTATATAGTAACTCAAAATCTCCAGGCCATATCGGACAACCAGATCCTGATAGTGATTCTTTGTAGCTGTTATTATATGTTTCATACTTATATAGTAACTCAAAATCTCCAGGCCATATCGGACAACCAGATCCTGATAGTGATTCTTTGTAGCTGTTATTATATGTTTCATACTTATATAGTAACTCAAAATCTCCAGGCCATATCGGACAACCAGATCCTGATAGTGATTCTTTGTAGCTGTTATTATATGTTTCATACTTATATAGTAACTCAAAATCTCCAGGCCATATCGGACAAGCAGATCCTGATAGTGATTCTTTGTAGCTGTTATTATATGTTTCATACTTATATAGTAACTCAAAATCTCCAGGCCATATCGGACAAGCAGATCCTGATAGTGATTCTTTGTAGCTGTTATTATATGTTTCATACTTATATAGTAACTCAAAATCTCCAGGCCATATCGGACAAGCAGATCCTGATAGTGATTCTTTGTAGCTGTTATTATATGTTTCATACTTATATAGTAACTCAAAATCTCCAGGCCATATCGGACAACCAGATCCTGATAGTGATTCTTTGTAGCTGTTATTATATGTTTCATACTTATATAGTAACTCAAAATCTCCAGGCCATATCGGACAACCAGATCCTGATAGTGATTCTTTGTAGCTGTTATTATATGTTTCATACTTATATAGTAACTCAAAATCTCCAGGCCATATCGGACAACCAGATCCTGATAGTGATTCTTTGTAGCTGTTATTATATGTTTCATACTTATATAGTAACTCAAAATCTCCAGGCCATATCGGACAACCAGATCCTGATAGTGATTCTTTGTAGCTGTTATTATATGTTTCATACTTATATAGTAACTCAAAATCTCCAGGCCATATCGGACAAGCAGATCCTGATAGTGATTCTTTGTAGCTGTTATTATATGTTTCATACTTATATAGTAACTCAAAATCTCCAGGCCATATCGGACAAGCAGATCCTGATAGTGATTCTTTGTAGCTGTTATTATATGTTTCATACTTATATAGTAACTCAAAATCTCCAGGCCATATCGGACAACCAGATCCTGATAGTGATTCTTTGTAGCTGTTATTATATGTTTCATACTTATATAGTAACTCAAAATCTCCAGGCCATATCGGACAACCAGATCCTGATAGTGATTCTTTGTAGCTGTTATTATATGTTTCATACTTATATAGTAACTCAAAATCTCCAGGCCATATCGGACAACCAGATCCTGATAGTGATTCTTTGTAGCTGTTATTATATGTTTCATACTTATATAGTAACTCAAAATCTCCAGGCCATATCGGACAACCAGATCCTGATAGTGATTCTTTGTAGCTGTTATTATATGTTTCATACTTATATAGTAACTCAAAATCTCCAGGCCATATCGGACAAGCAGATCCTGATAGTGATTCTTTGTAGCTGTTATTATATGTTTCATACTTATATAGTAACTCAAAATCTCCAGGCCATATCGGACAACCAGATCCTGATAGTGATTCTTTGTAGCTGTTATTATATGTTTCATACTTATATAGTAACTCAAAATCTCCAGGCCATATCGGACAAGCAGATCCTGATAGTGATTCTTTGTAGCTGTTATTATATGTTTCATACTTATATAGTAACTCAAAATCTCCAGGCCATATCGGACAAGCAGATCCTGATAGTGATTCTTTGTAGCTGTTATTATATGTTTCATACTTATATAGTAACTCAAAATCTCCAGGCCATATCGGACAACCAGATCCTGATAGTGATTCTTTGTAGCTGTTATTATATGTTTCATACTTATATAGTAACTCAAAATCTCCAGGCCATATCGGACAACCAGATCCTGATAGTGATTCTTTGTAGCTGTTATTATATGTTTCATACTTATATAGTAACTCAAAATCTCCAGGCCATATCGGACAACCAGATCCTGATAGTGATTCTTTGTAGCTGTTATTATATGTTTCATACTTATATAGTAACTCAAAATCTCCAGGCCATATCGGACAACCAGATCCTGATAGTGATTCTTTGTAGCTGTTATTATATGTTTCATACTTATATAGTAACTCAAAATCTCCAGGCCATATCGGACAACCAGATCCTGATAGTGATTCTTTGTAGCTGTTATTATATGTTTCATACTTATATAGTAACTCAAAATCTCCAGGCCATATCGGACAAGCAGATCCTGATAGTGATTCTTTGTAGCTGTTATTATATGTTTCATACTTATATAGTAACTCAAAATCTCCAGGCCATATCGGACAACCAGATCCTGATAGTGATTCTTTGTAGCTGTTATTATATGTTTCATACTTATATAGTAACTCAAAATCTCCAGGCCATATCGGACAAGCAGATCCTGATAGTGATTCTTTGTAGCTGTTATTATATGTTTCATACTTATATAGTAACTCAAAATCTCCAGGCCATATCGGACAAGCAGATCCTGATAGTGATTCTTTGTAGCTGTTATTATATGTTTCATACTTATATAGTAACTCAAAATCTCCAGGCCATATCGGACAAGCAGATCCTGATAGTGATTCTTTGTAGCTGTTATTATATATATGTTTCATACTTATATAGTAACTCAAAATCTCCAGGCCATATCGGACAAGCAGATCCTGATAGTGATTCTTTGTAGCTGTTATTATATGTTTCATACTTATATAGTAACTCAAAATCTCCAGGCCATATCGGACAAGCAGATCCTGATAGTGATTCTTTGTAGCTGTTATTATATGTTTCATACTTATATAGTAACTCAAAATCTCCAGGCCATATCGGACAAGCAGATCCTGATAGTGATTCTTTGTAGCTGTTATTATATGTTTCATACTTATATAGTAACTCAAAATCTCCAGGCCATATCGGACAAGCAGATCCTGATAGTGATTCTTTGTAGCTGTTATTATATGTTTCATACTTATATAGTAACTCAAAATCTCCAGGCCATATCGGACAACCAGATCCTGATAGTGATTCTTTGTAGCTGTTATTATATGTTTCATACTTATATAGTAACTCAAAATCTCCAGGCCATATCGGACAAGCAGATCCTGATAGTGATTCTTTGTAGCTGTTATTATATGTTTCATACTTATATAGTAACTCAAAATCTCCAGGCCATATCGGACAAGCAGATCCTGATAGTGATTCTTTGTAGCTGTTATTATATGTTTCATACTTATATAGTAACTCAAAATCTCCAGGCCATATCGGACAACCAGATCCTGATAGTGATTCTTTGTAGCTGTTATTATATGTTTCATACTTATATAGTAACTCAAAATCTCCAGGCCATATCGGACAACCAGATCCTGATAGTGATTCTTTGTAGCTGTTATTATATGTTTCATACTTATATAGTAACTCAAAATCTCCAGGCCATATCGGACAACCAGATCCTGATAGTGATTCTTTGTAGCTGTTATTATATGTTTCATACTTATATAGTAACTCAAAATCTCCAGGCCATATCGGACAAGCAGATCCTGATAGTGATTCTTTGTAGCTGTTATTATATGTTTCATACTTATATAGTAACTCAAAATCTCCAGGCCATATCGGACAACCAGATCCTGATAGTGATTCTTTGTAGCTGTTATTATATGTTTCATACTTATATAGTAACTCAAAATCTCCAGGCCATATCGGACAAGCAGATCCTGATAGTGATTCTTTGTAGCTGTTATTATATGTTTCATACTTATATAGTAACTCAAAATCTCCAGGCCATATCGGACAAGCAGATCCTGATAGTGATTCTTTGTAGCTGTTATTATATGTAGCTGTTATTATATGTTTCATACTTATATAGTAACTCAAAATCTCCAGGCCATATCGGACAACCAGATCCTGATAGTGATTCTTTGTAGCTGTTATTATATGTTTCATACTTATATAGTAACTCAAAATCTCCAGGCCATATCGGACAACCAGATCCTGATAGTGATTCTTTGTAGCTGTTATTATATGTTTCATACTTATATAGTAACTCAAAATCTCCAGGCCATATCGGACAACCAGATCCTGATAGTGATTCTTTGTAGCTGTTATTATATGTTTCATACTTATATAGTAACTCAAAATCTCCAGGCCATATCGGACAACCAGATCCTGATAGTGATTCTTTGTAGCTGTTATTATATGTTTCATACTTATATAGTAACTCAAAATCTCCAGGCCATATCGGACAACCAGATCCTGATAGTGATTCTTTGTAGCTGTTATTATATGTTTCATACTTATATAGTAACTCAAAATCTCCAGGCCATATCGGACAACCAGATCCTGATAGTGATTCTTTGTAGCTGTTATTATATGTTTCATACTTATATAGTAACTCAAAATCTCCAGGCCATATCGGACAACCAGATCCTGATAGTGATTCTTTGTAGCTGTTATTATATGTTTCATACTTATATAGTAACTCAAAATCTCCAGGCCATATCGGACAACCAGATCCTGATAGTGATTCTTTGTAGCTGTTATTATATGTTTCATACTTATATAGTAACTCAAAATCTCCAGGCCATATCGGACAACCAGATCCTGATAGTGATTCTTTGTAGCTGTTATTATATGTTTCATACTTATATAGTAACTCAAAATCTCCAGGCCATATCGGACAAGCAGATCCTGATAGTGATTCTTTGTAGCTGTTATTATATGTTTCATACTTATATAGTAACTCAAAATCTCCAGGCCATATCGGACAAGCAGATCCTGATAGTGATTCTTTGTAGCTGTTATTATATGTTTCATACTTATATAGTAACTCAAAATCTCCAGGCCATATCGGACAAGCAGATCCTGATAGTGATTCTTTGTAGCTGTTATTATATGTTTCATACTTATATAGTAACTCAAAATCTCCAGGCCATATCGGACAACCAGATCCTGATAGTGATTCTTTGTAGCTGTTATTATATGTTTCATACTTATATAGTAACTCAAAATCTCCAGGCCATATCGGACAACCAGATCCTGATAGTGATTCTTTGTAGCTGTTATTATATGTTTCATACTTATATAGTAACTCAAAATCTCCAGGCCATATCGGACAAGCAGATCCTGATAGTGATTCTTTGTAGCTGTTATTATATGTTTCATACTTATATAGTAACTCAAAATCTCCAGGCCATATCGGACAACCAGATCCTGATAGTGATTCTTTGTAGCTGTTATTATATGTTTCATACTTATATAGTAACTCAAAATCTCCAGGCCATATCGGACAACCAGATCCTGATAGTGATTCTTTGTAGCTGTTATTATATGTTTCATACTTATATAGTAACTCAAAATCTCCAGGCCATATCGGACAACCAGATCCTGATAGTGATTCTTTGTAGCTGTTATTATATGTTTCATACTTATATAGTAACTCAAAATCTCCAGGCCATATCGGACAACCAGATCCTGATAGTGATTCTTTGTAGCTGTTATTATATGTTTCATACTTATATAGTAACTCAAAATCTCCAGGCCATATCGGACAACCAGATCCTGATAGTGATTCTTTGTAGCTGTTATTATATGTTTCATACTTATATAGTAACTCAAAATCTCCAGGCCATATCGGACAACCAGATCCTGATAGTGATTCTTTGTAGCTGTTATTATATGTTTCATACTTATATAGTAACTCAAAATCTCCAGGCCATATCGGACAACCAGATCCTGATAGTGATTCTTTGTAGCTGTTATTATATGTTTCATACTTATATAGTAACTCAAAATCTCCAGGCCATATCGGACAACCAGATCCTGATAGTGATTCTTTGTAGCTGTTATTATATGTTTCATACTTATATAGTAACTCAAAATCTCCAGGCCATATCGGACAACCAGATCCTGATAGTGATTCTTTGTAGCTGTTATTATATGTTTCATACTTATATAGTAACTCAAAATCTCCAGGCCATATCGGACAACCAGATCCTGATAGTGATTCTTTGTAGCTGTTATTATATGTTTCATACTTATATAGTAACTCAAAATCTCCAGGCCATATCGGACAAGCAGATCCTGATAGTGATTCTTTGTAGCTGTTATTATATGTTTCATACTTATATAGTAACTCAAAATCTCCAGGCCATATCGGACAAGCAGATCCTGATAGTGATTCTTTGTAGCTGTTATTATATGTTTCATACTTATATAGTAACTCAAAATCTCCAGGCCATATCGGACAAGCAGATCCTGATAGTGATTCTTTGTAGCTGTTATTATATGTTTCATACTTATATAGTAACTCAAAATCTCCAGGCCATATCGGACAACCAGATCCTGATAGTGATTCTTTGTAGCTGTTATTATATGTTTCATACTTATATAGTAACTCAAAATCTCCAGGCCATATCGGACAACCAGATCCTGATAGTGATTCTTTGTAGCTGTTATTATATGTTTCATACTTATATAGTAACTCAAAATCTCCAGGCCATATCGGACAAGCAGATCCTGATAGTGATTCTTTGTAGCTGTTATTATATGTTTCATACTTATATAGTAACTCAAAATCTCCAGGCCATATCGGACAACCAGATCCTGATAGTGATTCTTTGTAGCTGTTATTATATGTTTCATACTTATATAGTAACTCAAAATCTCCAGGCCATATCGGACAAGCAGATCCTGATAGTGATTCTTTGTAGCTGTTATTATATGTTTCATACTTATATAGTAACTCAAAATCTCCAGGCCATATCGGACAAGCAGATCCTGATAGTGATTCTTTGTAGCTGTTATTATATGTTTCATACTTATATAGTAACTCAAAATCTCCAGGCCATATCGGACAACCAGATCCTGATAGTGATTCTTTGTAGCTGTTATTATATGTTTCATACTTATATAGTAACTCAAAATCTCCAGGCCATATCGGACAAGCAGATCCTGATAGTGATTCTTTGTAGCTGTTATTATATGTTTCATACTTATATAGTAACTCAAAATCTCCAGGCCATATCGGACAACCAGATCCTGATAGTGATTCTTTGTAGCTGTTATTATATGTTTCATACTTATATAGTAACTCAAAATCTCCAGGCCATATCGGACAACCAGATCCTGATAGTGATTCTTTGTAGCTGTTATTATATGTTTCATACTTATATAGTAACTCAAAATCTCCAGGCCATATCGGACAACCAGATCCTGATAGTGATTCTTTGTAGCTGTTATTATATGTTTCATACTTATATAGTAACTCAAAATCTCCAGGCCATATCGGACAACCAGATCCTGATAGTGATTCTTTGTAGCTGTTATTATATGTTTCATACTTATATAGTAACTCAAAATCTCCAGGCCATATCGGACAACCAGATCCTGATAGTGATTCTTTGTAGCTGTTATTATATGTTTCATACTTATATAGTAACTCAAAATCTCCAGGCCATATCGGACAACCAGATCCTGATAGTGATTCTTTGTAGCTGTTATTATATGTTTCATACTTATATAGTAACTCAAAATCTCCAGGCCATATCGGACAAGCAGATCCTGATAGTGATTCTTTGTAGCTGTTATTATATTATTTTTCATACTTATATAGTAACTCAAAATCTCCAGGCCATATCGGACAAGCAGATCCTGATAGTGATTCTTTGTAGCTGTTATTATATGTTTCATACTTATATAGTAACTCAAAATCTCCAGGCCATATCGGACAAGCAGATCCTGATAGTGATTCTTTGTAGCTGTTATTATATGTTTCATACTTATATAGTAACTCAAAATCTCCAGGCCATATCGGACAACCAGATCCTGATAGTGATTCTTTGTAGCTGTTATTATATGTTTCATACTTATATAGTAACTCAAAATCTCCAGGCCATATCGGACAACCAGATCCTGATAGTGATTCTTTGTAGCTGTTATTATATGTTTCATACTTATATAGTAACTCAAAATCTCCAGGCCATATCGGACAACCAGATCCTGATAGTGATTCTTTGTAGCTGTTATTATATGTTTCATACTTATATAGTAACTCAAAATCTCCAGGCCATATCGGACAACCAGATCCTGATAGTGATTCTTTGTAGCTGTTATTATATGTTTCATACTTATATAGTAACTCAAAATCTCCAGGCCATATCGGACAAGCAGATCCTGATAGTGATTCTTTGTAGCTGTTATTATATGTTTCATACTTATATAGTAACTCAAAATCTCCAGGCCATATCGGACAACCAGATCCTGATAGTGATTCTTTGTAGCTGTTATTATATGTTTCATACTTATATAGTAACTCAAAATCTCCAGGCCATATCGGACAAGCAGATCCTGATAGTGATTCTTTGTAGCTGTTATTATATGTTTCATACTTATATAGTAACTCAAAATCTCCAGGCCATATCGGACAACCAGATCCTGATAGTGATTCTTTGTAGCTGTTATTATATGTTTCATACTTATATAGTAACTCAAAATCTCCAGGCCATATCGGACAACCAGATCCTGATAGTGATTCTTTGTAGCTGTTATTATATGTTTCATACTTATATAGTAACTCAAAATCTCCAGGCCATATCGGACAACCAGATCCTGATAGTGATTCTTTGTAGCTGTTATTATATGTTTCATACTTATATAGTAACTCAAAATCTCCAGGCCATATCGGACAACCAGATCCTGATAGTGATTCTTTGTAGCTGTTATTATATGTTTCATACTTATATAGTAACTCAAAATCTCCAGGCCATATCGGACAACCAGATCCTGATAGTGATTCTTTGTAGCTGTTATTATATGTTTCATACTTATATAGTAACTCAAAATCTCCAGGCCATATCGGACAAGCAGATCCTGATAGTGATTCTTTGTAGCTGTTATTATATGTTTCATACTTATATAGTAACTCAAAATCTCCAGGCCATATCGGACAACCAGATCCTGATAGTGATTCTTTGTAGCTGTTATTATATGTTTCATACTTATATAGTAACTCAAAATCTCCAGGCCATATCGGACAAGCAGATCCTGATAGTGATTCTTTGTAGCTGTTATTATATGTTTCATACTTATATAGTAACTCAAAATCTCCAGGCCATATCGGACAAGCAGATCCTGATAGTGATTCTTTGTAGCTGTTATTATATGTTTTCATACTTATATAGTAACTCAAAATCTCCAGGCCATATCGGACAAGCAGATCCTGATAGTGATTCTTTGTAGCTGTTATTATATGTTTCATACTTATATAGTAACTCAAAATCTCCAGGCCATATCGGACAAGCAGATCCTGATAGTGATTCTTTGTAGCTGTTATTATATGTTTCATACTTATATAGTAACTCAAAATCTCCAGGCCATATCGGACAAGCAGATCCTGATAGTGATTCTTTGTAGCTGTTATTATATGTTTCATACTTATATAGTAACTCAAAATCTCCAGGCCATATCGGACAAGCAGATCCTGATAGTGATTCTTTGTAGCTGTTATTATATGTTTCATACTTATATAGTAACTCAAAATCTCCAGGCCATATCGGACAAGCAGATCCTGATAGTGATTCTTTGTAGCTGTTATTATATGTTTCATACTTATATAGTAACTCAAAATCTCCAGGCCATATCGGACAAGCAGATCCTGATAGTGATTCTTTGTAGCTGTTATTATATGTTTCATACTTATATAGTAACTCAAAATCTCCAGGCCATATCGGACAAGCAGATCCTGATAGTGATTCTTTGTAGCTGTTATTATATGTTTCATACTTATATAGTAACTCAAAATCTCCAGGCCATATCGGACAAGCAGATCCTGATAGTGATTCTTTGTAGCTGTTATTATATGTTTCATACTTATATAGTAACTCAAAATCTCCAGGCCATATCGGACAACCAGATCCTGATAGTGATTCTTTGTAGCTGTTATTATATGTTTCATACTTATATAGTAACTCAAAATCTCCAGGCCATATCGGACAAGCAGATCCTGATAGTGATTCTTTGTAGCTGTTATTATATGTTTCATACTTATATAGTAACTCAAAATCTCCAGGCCATATCGGACAACCAGATCCTGATAGTGATTCTTTGTAGCTGTTATTATATGTTTCATACTTATATAGTAACTCAAAATCTCCAGGCCATATCGGACAACCAGATCCTGATAGTGATTCTTTGTAGCTGTTATTATATGTTTCATACTTATATAGTAACTCAAAATCTCCAGGCCATATCGGACAACCAGATCCTGATAGTGATTCTTTGTAGCTGTTATTATATGTTTCATACTTATATAGTAACTCAAAATCTCCAGGCCATATCGGACAACCAGATCCTGATAGTGATTCTTTGTAGCTGTTATTATATGTTTCATACTTATATAGTAACTCAAAATCTCCAGGCCATATCGGACAACCAGATCCTGATAGTGATTCTTTGTAGCTGTTATTATATGTTTCATACTTATATAGTAACTCAAAATCTCCAGGCCATATCGGACAACCAGATCCTGATAGTGATTCTTTGTAGCTGTTATTATATGTTTCATACTTATATAGTAACTCAAAATCTCCAGGCCATATCGGACAACCAGATCCTGATAGTGATTCTTTGTAGCTGTTATTATATGTTTCATACTTATATAGTAACTCAAAATCTCCAGGCCATATCGGACAACCAGATCCTGATAGTGATTCTTTGTAGCTGTTATTATATGTTTCATACTTATATAGTAACTCAAAATCTCCAGGCCATATCGGACAACCAGATCCTGATAGTGATTCTTTGTAGCTGTTATTATATGTTTCATACTTATATAGTAACTCAAAATCTCCAGGCCATATCGGACAACCAGATCCTGATAGTGATTCTTTGTAGCTGTTATTATATGTTTCATACTTATATAGTAACTCAAAATCTCCAGGCCATATCGGACAAGCAGATCCTGATAGTGATTCTTTGTAGCTGTTATTATATGTTTCATACTTATATAGTAACTCAAAATCTCCAGGCCATATCGGACAACCAGATCCTGATAGTGATTCTTTGTAGCTGTTATTATATGTTTCATACTTATATAGTAACTCAAAATCTCCAGGCCATATCGGACAACCAGATCCTGATAGTGATTCTTTGTAGCTGTTATTATATGTTTCATACTTATATAGTAACTCAAAATCTCCAGGCCATATCGGACAACCAGATCCTGATAGTGATTCTTTGTAGCTGTTATTATATGTTTCATACTTATATAGTAACTCAAAATCTCCAGGCCATATCGGACAAGCAGATCCTGATAGTGATTCTTTGTAGCTGTTATTATATGTTTCATACTTATATAGTAACTCAAAATCTCCAGGCCATATCGGACAAGCAGATCCTGATAGTGATTCTTTGTAGCTGTTATTATATGTTTCATACTTATATAGTAACTCAAAATCTCCAGGCCATATCGGACAAGCAGATCCTGATAGTGATTCTTTGTAGCTGTTATTATATGTTTCATACTTATATAGTAACTCAAAATCTCCAGGCCATATCGGACAAGCAGATCCTGATAGTGATTCTTTGTAGCTGTTATTATATGTTTCATACTTATATAGTAACTCAAAATCTCCAGGCCATATCGGACAAGCAGATCCTGATAGTGATTCTTTGTAGCTGTTATTATATGTTTCATACTTATATAGTAACTCAAAATCTCCAGGCCATATCGGACAAGCAGATCCTGATAGTGATTCTTTGTAGCTGTTATTATATGTTTCATACTTATATAGTAACTCAAAATCTCCAGGCCATATCGGACAAGCAGATCCTGATAGTGATTCTTTGTAGCTGTTATTATATGTTTCATACTTATATAGTAACTCAAAATCTCCAGGCCATATCGGACAACCAGATCCTGATAGTGATTCTTTGTAGCTGTTATTATATGTTTCATACTTATATAGTAACTCAAAATCTCCAGGCCATATCGGACAAGCAGATCCTGATAGTGATTCTTTGTAGCTGTTATTATATGTTTCATACTTATATAGTAACTCAAAATCTCCAGGCCATATCGGACAACCAGATCCTGATAGTGATTCTTTGTAGCTGTTATTATATGTTTCATACTTATATAGTAACTCAAAATCTCCAGGCCATATCGGACAAGCAGATCCTGATAGTGATTCTTTGTAGCTGTTATTATATGTTTCATACTTATATAGTAACTCAAAATCTCCAGGCCATATCGGACAAGCAGATCCTGATAGTGATTCTTTGTAGCTGTTATTATATGTTTCATACTTATATAGTAACTCAAAATCTCCAGGCCATATCGGACAAGCAGATCCTGATAGTGATTCTTTGTAGCTGTTATTATATGTTTCATACTTATATAGTAACTCAAAATCTCCAGGCCATATCGGACAAGCAGATCCTGATAGTGATTCTTTGTAGCTGTTATTATATGTTTCATACTTATATAGTAACTCAAAATCTCCAGGCCATATCGGACAAGCAGATCCTGATAGTGATTCTTTGTAGCTGTTATTATATGTTTCATACTTATATAGTAACTCAAAATCTCCAGGCCATATCGGACAAGCAGATCCTGATAGTGATTCTTTGTAGCTGTTATTATATGTTTCATACTTATATAGTAACTCAAAATCTCCAGGCCATATCGGACAAGCAGATCCTGATAGTGATTCTTTGTAGCTGTTATTATATGTTTCATACTTATATAGTAACTCAAAATCTCCAGGCCATATCGGACAAGCAGATCCTGATAGTGATTCTTTGTAGCTGTTATTATATGTTTCATACTTATATAGTAACTCAAAATCTCCAGGCCATATCGGACAAGCAGATCCTGATAGTGATTCTTTGTAGCTGTTATTATATGTTTCATACTTATATAGTAACTCAAAATCTCCAGGCCATATCGGACAAGCAGATCCTGATAGTGATTCTTTGTAGCTGTTATTATATGTTTCATACTTATATAGTAACTCAAAATCTCCAGGCCATATCGGACAAGCAGATCCTGATAGTGATTCTTTGTAGCTGTTATTATATGTTTCATACTTATATAGTAACTCAAAATCTCCAGGCCATATCGGACAAGCAGATCCTGATAGTGATTCTTTGTAGCTGTTATTATATGTTTCATACTTATATAGTAACTCAAAATCTCCAGGCCATATCGGACAAGCAGATCCTGATAGTGATTCTTTGTAGCTGTTATTATATGTTTCATACTTATATAGTAACTCAAAATCTCCAGGCCATATCGGACAAGCAGATCCTGATAGTGATTCTTTGTAGCTGTTATTATATGTTTCATACTTATATAGTAACTCAAAATCTCCAGGCCATATCGGACAAGCAGATCCTGATAGTGATTCTTTGTAGCTGTTATTATATGTTTCATACTTATATAGTAACTCAAAATCTCCAGGCCATATCGGACAAGCAGATCCTGATAGTGATTCTTTGTAGCTGTTATTATATGTTTCATACTTATATAGTAACTCAAAATCTCCAGGCCATATCGGACAAGCAGATCCTGATAGTGATTCTTTGTAGCTGTTATTATATGTTTCATACTTATATAGTAACTCAAAATCTCCAGGCCATATCGGACAAGCAGATCCTGATAGTGATTCTTTGTAGCTGTTATTATATGTTTCATACTTATATAGTAACTCAAAATCTCCAGGCCATATCGGACAAGCAGATCCTGATAGTGATTCTTTGTAGCTGTTATTATATGTTTCATACTTATATAGTAACTCAAAATCTCCAGGCCATATCGGACAACCAGATCCTGATAGTGATTCTTTGTAGCTGTTATTATATGTTTCATACTTATATAGTAACTCAAAATCTCCAGGCCATATCGGACAACCAGATCCTGATAGTGATTCTTTGTAGCTGTTATTATATGTTTCATACTTATATAGTAACTCAAAATCTCCAGGCCATATCGGACAACCAGATCCTGATAGTGATTCTTTGTAGCTGTTATTATATGTTTCATACTTATATAGTAACTCAAAATCTCCAGGCCATATCGGACAACCAGATCCTGATAGTGATTCTTTGTAGCTGTTATTATATGTTTCATACTTATATAGTAACTCAAAATCTCCAGGCCATATCGGACAACCAGATCCTGATAGTGATTCTTTGTAGCTGTTATTATATGTTTCATACTTATATAGTAACTCAAAATCTCCAGGCCATATCGGACAACCAGATCCTGATAGTGATTCTTTGTAGCTGTTATTATATGTTTCATACTTATATAGTAACTCAAAATCTCCAGGCCATATCGGACAAGCAGATCCTGATAGTGATTCTTTGTAGCTGTTATTATATGTTTCATACTTATATAGTAACTCAAAATCTCCAGGCCATATCGGACAACCAGATCCTGATAGTGATTCTTTGTAGCTGTTATTATATGTTTCATACTTATATAGTAACTCAAAATCTCCAGGCCATATCGGACAAGCAGATCCTGATAGTGATTCTTTGTAGCTGTTATTATATGTTTCATACTTATATAGTAACTCAAAATCTCCAGGCCATATCGGACAACCAGATCCTGATAGTGATTCTTTGTAGCTGTTATTATATGTTTCATACTTATATAGTAACTCAAAATCTCCAGGCCATATCGGACAAGCAGATCCTGATAGTGATTCTTTGTAGCTGTTATTATATGTTTCATACTTATATAGTAACTCAAAATCTCCAGGCCATATCGGACAACCAGATCCTGATAGTGATTCTTTGTAGCTGTTATTATATGTTTCATACTTATATAGTAACTCAAAATCTCCAGGCCATATCGGACAAGCAGATCCTGATAGTGATTCTTTGTAGCTGTTATTATATGTTTCATACTTATATAGTAACTCAAAATCTCCAGGCCATATCGGACAACCAGATCCTGATAGTGATTCTTTGTAGCTGTTATTATATGTTTCATACTTATATAGTAACTCAAAATCTCCAGGCCATATCGGACAACCAGATCCTGATAGTGATTCTTTGTAGCTGTTATTATATGTTTCATACTTATATAGTAACTCAAAATCTCCAGGCCATATCGGACAACCAGATCCTGATAGTGATTCTTTGTAGCTGTTATTATATGTTTCATACTTATATAGTAACTCAAAATCTCCAGGCCATATCGGACAACCAGATCCTGATAGTGATTCTTTGTAGCTGTTATTATATGTTTCATACTTATATAGTAACTCAAAATCTCCAGGCCATATCGGACAACCAGATCCTGATAGTGATTCTTTGTAGCTGTTATTATATGTTTCATACTTATATAGTAACTCAAAATCTCCAGGCCATATCGGACAACCAGATCCTGATAGTGATTCTTTGTAGCTGTTATTATATGTTTCATACTTATATAGTAACTCAAAATCTCCAGGCCATATCGGACAACCAGATCCTGATAGTGATTCTTTGTAGCTGTTATTATATGTTTCATACTTATATAGTAACTCAAAATCTCCAGGCCATATCGGACAACCAGATCCTGATAGTGATTCTTTGTAGCTGTTATTATATGTTTCATACTTATATAGTAACTCAAAATCTCCAGGCCATATCGGACAACCAGATCCTGATAGTGATTCTTTGTAGCTGTTATTATATGTTTCATACTTATATAGTAACTCAAAATCTCCAGGCCATATCGGACAACCAGATCCTGATAGTGATTCTTTGTAGCTGTTATTATATGTTTCATACTTATATAGTAACTCAAAATCTCCAGGCCATATCGGACAACCAGATCCTGATAGTGATTCTTTGTAGCTGTTATTATATGTTTCATACTTATATAGTAACTCAAAATCTCCAGGCCATATCGGACAAGCAGATCCTGATAGTGATTCTTTGTAGCTGTTATTATATGTTTCATACTTATATAGTAACTCAAAATCTCCAGGCCATATCGGACAAGCAGATCCTGATAGTGATTCTTTGTAGCTGTTATTATATGTTTCATACTTATATAGTAACTCAAAATCTCCAGGCCATATCGGACAAGCAGATCCTGATAGTGATTCTTTGTAGCTGTTATTATATGTTTCATACTTATATAGTAACTCAAAATCTCCAGGCCATATCGGACAAGCAGATCCTGATAGTGATTCTTTGTAGCTGTTATTATATGTTTCATACTTATATAGTAACTCAAAATCTCCAGGCCATATCGGACAAGCAGATCCTGATAGTGATTCTTTGTAGCTGTTATTATATGTTTCATACTTATATAGTAACTCAAAATCTCCAGGCCATATCGGACAACCAGATCCTGATAGTGATTCTTTGTAGCTGTTATTATATGTTTCATACTTATATAGTAACTCAAAATCTCCAGGCCATATCGGACAACCAGATCCTGATAGTGATTCTTTGTAGCTGTTATTATATGTTTCATACTTATATAGTAACTCAAAATCTCCAGGCCATATCGGACAAGCAGATCCTGATAGTGATTCTTTGTAGCTGTTATTATATGTTTCATACTTATATAGTAACTCAAAATCTCCAGGCCATATCGGACAAGCAGATCCTGATAGTGATTCTTTGTAGCTGTTATTATATGTTTCATACTTATATAGTAACTCAAAATCTCCAGGCCATATCGGACAAGCAGATCCTGATAGTGATTCTTTGTAGCTGTTATTATATGTTTCATACTTATATAGTAACTCAAAATCTCCAGGCCATATCGGACAACCAGATCCTGATAGTGATTCTTTGTAGCTGTTATTATATGTTTCATACTTATATAGTAACTCAAAATCTCCAGGCCATATCGGACAACCAGATCCTGATAGTGATTCTTTGTAGCTGTTATTATATGTTTCATACTTATATAGTAACTCAAAATCTCCAGGCCATATCGGACAACCAGATCCTGATAGTGATTCTTTGTAGCTGTTATTATATGTTTCATACTTATATAGTAACTCAAAATCTCCAGGCCATATCGGACAACCAGATCCTGATAGTGATTCTTTGTAGCTGTTATTATATGTTTCATACTTATATAGTAACTCAAAATCTCCAGGCCATATCGGACAACCAGATCCTGATAGTGATTCTTTGTAGCTGTTATTATATGTTTCATACTTATATAGTAACTCAAAATCTCCAGGCCATATCGGACAACCAGATCCTGATAGTGATTCTTTGTAGCTGTTATTATATGTTTCACACTTATATAGTAACTCAAAATCTCCAGGCCATATCGGACAACCAGATCCTGATAGTGATTCTTTGTAGCTGTTATTATATGTTTCATACTTATATAGTAACTCAAAATCTCCAGGCCATATCGGACAACCAGATCCTGATAGTGATTCTTTGTAGCTGTTATTATATGTTTCATACTTATATAGTAACTCAAAATCTCCAGGCCATATCGGACAACCAGATCCTGATAGTGATTCTTTGTAGCTGTTATTATATGTTTCATACTTATATAGTAACTCAAAATCTCCAGGCCATATCGGACAAGCAGATCCTGATAGTGATTCTTTGTAGCTGTTATTATATGTTTCATACTTATATAGTAACTCAAAATCTCCAGGCCATATCGGACAAGCAGATCCTGATAGTGATTCTTTGTAGCTGTTATTATATGTTTCATACTTATATAGTAACTCAAAATCTCCAGGCCATATCGGACAAGCAGATCCTGATAGTGATTCTTTGTAGCTGTTATTATATGTTTCATACTTATATAGTAACTCAAAATCTCCAGGCCATATCGGACAAGCAGATCCTGATAGTGATTCTTTGTAGCTGTTATTATATGTTTCATACTTATATAGTAACTCAAAATCTCCAGGCCATATCGGACAAGCAGATCCTGATAGTGATTCTTTGTAGCTGTTATTATATGTTTCATACTTATATAGTAACTCAAAATCTCCAGGCCATATCGGACAACCAGATCCTGATAGTGATTCTTTGTAGCTGTTATTATATGTTTCATACTTATATAGTAACTCAAGATCTCCAGGCCATATCGGACAACCAGATCCTGATAGTGATTCTTTGTAGCTGTTATTATATGTTTCATACTTATATAGTAACTCAAGATCTCCAGGCCATATCGGACAACCAGATCCTGATAGTGATTCTTTGTAGCTGTTATTATATGTTTCATACTTATATAGTAACTCAAGATCTCCAGGCCATATCGGACAACCAGATCCTGATAGTGATTCTTTGTAGCTGTTATTATATGTTTCATACTTATATAGTAACTCAAGATCTCCAGGCCATATCGGACAACCAGATCCTGATAGTGATTCTTTGTAGCTGTTGTTATATGTTTCATACTTATATAGTAACTCAAAATCTCCAGGCCATATCGGACAACCAGATCCTGATAGTGATTCTTTGTAGCTGTTATTATATGTTTCATACTTATATAGTAACTCAAAATCTCCAGGCCATATCGGACAACCAGATCCTGATAGTGATTCTTTGTAGCTGTTATTATATGTTTCATACTTATATAGTAACTCAAAATCTCCAGGCCATATCGGACAACCAGATCCTGATAGTGATTCTTTGTAGCTGTTATTATATGTTTCATACTTATATAGTAACTCAAAATCTCCAGGCCATATCGGACAACCAGATCCTGATAGTGATTCTTTGTAGCTGTTATTATATGTTTCATACTTATATAGTAACTCAAAATCTCCAGGCCATATCGGACAACCAGATCCTGATAGTGATTCTTTGTAGCTGTTATTATATGTTTCATACTTATATAGTAACTCAAAATCTCCAGGCCATATCGGACAAGCAGATCCTGATAGTGATTCTTTGTAGCTGTTATTATATGTTTCATACTTATATAGTAACTCAAAATCTCCAGGCCATATCGGACAAGCAGATCCTGATAGTGATTCTTTGTAGCTGTTATTATATGTTTCATACTTATATAGTAACTCAAAATCTCCAGGCCATATCGGACAAGCAGATCCTGATAGTGATTCTTTGTAGCTGTTATTATATGTTTCATACTTATATAGTAACTCAAAATCTCCAGGCCATATCGGACAAGCAGATCCTGATAGTGATTCTTTGTAGCTGTTATTATATGTTTCATACTTATATAGTAACTCAAAATCTCCAGGCCATATCGGACAACCAGATCCTGATAGTGATTCTTTGTAGCTGTTGTTATATGTTTCATACTTATATAGTAACTCAAAATCTCCAGGCCATATCGGACAACCAGATCCTGATAGTGATTCTTTGTAGCTGTTGTTATATGTTTCATACTTATATAGTAACTCAAAATCTCCAGGCCATATCGGACAACCAGATCCTGATAGTGATTCTTTGTAGCTGTTATTATATGTTTCATACTTATATAGTAACTCAAAATCTCCAGGCCATATCGGACAACCAGATCCTGATAGTGATTCTTTGTAGCTGTTATTATATGTTTCATACTTATATAGTAACTCAAAATCTCCAGGCCATATCGGACAAGCAGATCCTGATAGTGATTCTTTGTAGCTGTTATTATATGTTTCATACTTATATAGTAACTCAAAATCTCCAGGCCATATCGGACAACCAGATCCTGATAGTGATTCTTTGTAGCTGTTATTATATGTTTCATACTTATATAGTAACTCAAAATCTCCAGGCCATATCGGACAAGCAGATCCTGATAGTGATTCTTTGTAGCTGTTATTATATGTTTCATACTTATATAGTAACTCAAAATCTCCAGGCCATATCGGACAAGCAGATCCTGATAGTGATTCTTTGTAGCTGTTATTATATGTTTCATACTTATATAGTAACTCAAAATCTCCAGGCCATATCGGACAAGCAGATCCTGATAGTGATTCTTTGTAGCTGTTATTATATGTTTCATACTTATATAGTAACTCAAAATCTCCAGGCCATATCGGACAACCAGATCCTGATAGTGATTCTTTGTAGCTGTTATTATATGTTTCATACTTATATAGTAACTCAAAATCTCCAGGCCATATCGGACAACCAGATCCTGATAGTGATTCTTTGTAGCTGTTGTTATATGTTTCATACTTATATAGTAACTCAAAATCTCCAGGCCATATCGGACAACCAGATCCTGATAGTGATTCTTTGTAGCTGTTATTATATGTTTCATACTTATATAGTAACTCAAAATCTCCAGGCCATATCGGACAACCAGATCCTGATAGTGATTCTTTGTAGCTGTTATTATATGTTTCATACTTATATAGTAACTCAAAATCTCCAGGCCATATCGGACAACCAGATCCTGATAGTGATTCTTTGTAGCTGTTATTATATGTTTCATACTTATATAGTAACTCAAAATCTCCAGGCCATATCGGACAACCAGATCCTGATAGTGATTCTTTGTAGCTGTTATTATATGTTTCATACTTATATAGTAACTCAAAATCTCCAGGCCATATCGGACAACCAGATCCTGATAGTGATTCTTTGTAGCTGTTATTATATGTTTCATACTTATATAGTAACTCAAAATCTCCAGGCCATATCGGACAACCAGATCCTGATAGTGATTCTTTGTAGCTGTTGTTATATGTTTCATACTTATATAGTAACTCAAAATCTCCAGGCCATATCGGACAACCAGATCCTGATAGTGATTCTTTGTAGCTGTTATTATATGTTTCATACTTATATAGTAACTCAAAATCTCCAGGCCATATCGGACAACCAGATCCTGATAGTGATTCTTTGTAGCTGTTATTATATGTTTCATACTTATATAGTAACTCAAAATCTCCAGGCCATATCGGACAACCAGATCCTGATAGTGATTCTTTGTAGCTGTTATTATATGTTTCATACTTATATAGTAACTCAAAATCTCCAGGCCATATCGGACAACCAGATCCTGATAGTGATTCTTTGTAGCTGTTATTATATGTTTCATACTTATATAGTAACTCAAAATCTCCAGGCCATATCGGACAACCAGATCCTGATAGTGATTCTTTGTAGCTGTTATTATATGTTTCATACTTATATAGTAACTCAAAATCTCCAGGCCATATCGGACAAGCAGATCCTGATAGTGATTCTTTGTAGCTGTTATTATATGTTTCATACTTATATAGTAACTCAAAATCTCCAGGCCATATCGGACAAGCAGATCCTGATAGTGATTCTTTGTAGCTGTTATTATATGTTTCATACTTATATAGTAACTCAAAATCTCCAGGCCATATCGGACAACCAGATCCTGATAGTGATTCTTTGTAGCTGTTATTATATGTTTCATACTTATATAGTAACTCAAAATCTCCAGGCCATATCGGACAAGCAGATCCTGATAGTGATTCTTTGTAGCTGTTATTATATGTTTCATACTTATATAGTAACTCAAAATCTCCAGGCCATATCGGACAACCAGATCCTGATAGTGATTCTTTGTAGCTGTTATTATATGTTTCATACTTATATAGTAACTCAAAATCTCCAGGCCATATCGGACAAGCAGATCCTGATAGTGATTCTTTGTAGCTGTTATTATATGTTTCATACTTATATAGTAACTCAAAATCTCCAGGCCATATCGGACAACCAGATCCTGATAGTGATTCTTTGTAGCTGTTATTATATGTTTCATACTTATATAGTAACTCAAAATCTCCAGGCCATATCGGACAAGCAGATCCTGATAGTGATTCTTTGTAGCTGTTATTATATGTTTCATACTTATATAGTAACTCAAAATCTCCAGGCCATATCGGACAACCAGATCCTGATAGTGATTCTTTGTAGCTGTTATTATATGTTTCATACTTATATAGTAACTCAAAATCTCCAGGCCATATCGGACAACCAGATCCTGATAGTGATTCTTTGTAGCTGTTATTATATGTTTCATACTTATATAGTAACTCAAAATCTCCAGGCCATATCGGACAACCAGATCCTGATAGTGATTCTTTGTAGCTGTTATTATATGTTTCATACTTATATAGTAACTCAAAATCTCCAGGCCATATCGGACAACCAGATCCTGATAGTGATTCTTTGTAGCTGTTATTATATGTTTCATACTTATATAGTAACTCAAAATCTCCAGGCCATATCGGACAACCAGATCCTGATAGTGATTCTTTGTAGCTGTTATTATATGTTTCATACTTATATAGTAACTCAAAATCTCCAGGCCATATCGGACAACCAGATCCTGATAGTGATTCTTTGTAGCTGTTATTATATGTTTCATACTTATATAGTAACTCAAAATCTCCAGGCCATATCGGACAACCAGATCCTGATAGTGATTCTTTGTAGCTGTTATTATATGTTTCATACTTATATAGTAACTCAAAATCTCCAGGCCATATCGGACAACCAGATCCTGATAGTGATTCTTTGTAGCTGTTATTATATGTTTCATACTTATATAGTAACTCAAAATCTCCAGGCCATATCGGACAACCAGATCCTGATAGTGATTCTTTGTAGCTGTTATTATATGTTTCATACTTATATAGTAACTCAAAATCTCCAGGCCATATCGGACAAGCAGATCCTGATAGTGATTCTTTGTAGCTGTTATTATATGTTTCATACTTATATAGTAACTCAAAATCTCCAGGCCATATCGGACAAGCAGATCCTGATAGTGATTCTTTGTAGCTGTTATTATATGTTTCATACTTATATAGTAACTCAAAATCTCCAGGCCATATCGGACAAGCAGATCCTGATAGTGATTCTTTGTAGCTGTTATTATATGTTTCATACTTATATAGTAACTCAAAATCTCCAGGCCATATCGGACAAGCAGATCCTGATAGTGATTCTTTGTAGCTGTTATTATATGTTTCATACTTATATAGTAACTCAAAATCTCCAGGCCATATCGGACAAGCAGATCCTGATAGTGATTCTTTGTAGCTGTTATTATATGTTTCATACTTATATAGTAACTCAAAATCTCCAGGCCATATCGGACAACCAGATCCTGATAGTGATTCTTTGTAGCTGTTATTATATGTTTCATACTTATATAGTAACTCAAAATCTCCAGGCCATATCGGACAAGCAGATCCTGATAGTGATTCTTTGTAGCTGTTATTATATGTTTCATACTTATATAGTAACTCAAAATCTCCAGGCCATATCGGACAAGCAGATCCTGATAGTGATTCTTTGTAGCTGTTATTATATGTTTCATACTTATATAGTAACTCAAAATCTCCAGGCCATATCGGACAAGCAGATCCTGATAGTGATTCTTTGTAGCTGTTATTATATGTTTCATACTTATATAGTAACTCAAAATCTCCAGGCCATATCGGACAAGCAGATCCTGATAGTGATTCTTTGTAGCTGTTATTATATGTTTCATACTTATATAGTAACTCAAAATCTCCAGGCCATATCGGACAACCAGATCCTGATAGTGATTCTTTGTAGCTGTTATTATATGTTTCATACTTATATAGTAACTCAAAATCTCCAGGCCATATCGGACAACCAGATCCTGATAGTGATTCTTTGTAGCTGTTATTATATGTTTCATACTTATATAGTAACTCAAAATCTCCAGGCCATATCGGACAACCAGATCCTGATAGTGATTCTTTGTAGCTGTTATTATATGTTTCATACTTATATAGTAACTCAAAATCTCCAGGCCATATCGGACAACCAGATCCTGATAGTGATTCTTTGTAGCTGTTATTATATGTTTCATACTTATATAGTAACTCAAAATCTCCAGGCCATATCGGACAACCAGATCCTGATAGTGATTCTTTGTAGCTGTTATTATATGTTTCATACTTATATAGTAACTCAAAATCTCCAGGCCATATCGGACAACCAGATCCTGATAGTGATTCTTTGTAGCTGTTATTATATGTTTCATACTTATATAGTAACTCAAAATCTCCAGGCCATATCGGACAACCAGATCCTGATAGTGATTCTTTGTAGCTGTTATTATATGTTTCATACTTATATAGTAACTCAAAATCTCCAGGCCATATCGGACAACCAGATCCTGATAGTGATTCTTTGTAGCTGTTATTATATGTTTCAAACTTATATAGTAACTCAAAATCTCCAGGCCATATCGGACAAGCAGATCCTGATAGTGATTCTTTGTAGCTGTTATTATATGTTTCATACTTATATAGTAACTCAAAATCTCCAGGCCATATCGGACAAGCAGATCCTGATAGTGATTCTTTGTAGCTGTTATTATATGTTTCATACTTATATAGTAACTCAAAATCTCCAGGCCATATCGGACAAGCAGATCCTGATAGTGATTCTTTGTAGCTGTTATTATATGTTTCATACTTATATAGTAACTCAAAATCTCCAGGCCATATCGGACAAGCAGATCCTGATAGTGATTCTTTGTAGCTGTTATTATATGTTTCATACTTATATAGTAACTCAAAATCTCCAGGCCATATCGGACAAGCAGATCCTGATAGTGATTCTTTGTAGCTGTTATTATATGTTTCATACTTATATAGTAACTCAAAATCTCCAGGCCATATCGGACAAGCAGATCCTGATAGTGATTCTTTGTAGCTGTTATTATATGTTTCATACTTATATAGTAACTCAAAATCTCCAGGCCATATCGGACAAGCAGATCCTGATAGTGATTCTTTGTAGCTGTTATTATATGTTTCATACTTATATAGTAACTCAAAATCTCCAGGCCATATCGGACAAGCAGATCCTGATAGTGATTCTTTGTAGCTGTTATTATATGTTTCATACTTATATAGTAACTCAAAATCTCCAGGCCATATCGGACAAGCAGATCCTGATAGTGATTCTTTGTAGCTGTTATTATATGTTTCATACTTATATAGTAACTCAAAATCTCCAGGCCATATCGGACAAGCAGATCCTGATAGTGATTCTTTGTAGCTGTTATTATATGTTTCATACTTATATAGTAACTCAAAATCTCCAGGCCATATCGGACAAGCAGATCCTGATAGTGATTCTTTGTAGCTGTTATTATATGTTTCATACTTATATAGTAACTCAAAATCTCCAGGCCATATCGGACAACCAGATCCTGATAGTGATTCTTTGTAGCTGTTATTATATGTTTCATACTTATATAGTAACTCAAAATCTCCAGGCCATATCGGACAACCAGATCCTGATAGTGATTCTTTGTAGCTGTTATTATATGTTTCATACTTATATAGTAACTCAAGATCTCCAGGCCATATCGGACAACCAGATCCTGATAGTGATTCTTTGTAGCTGTTATTATATGTTTCATACTTATATAGTAACTCAAGATCTCCAGGCCATATCGGACAACCAGATCCTGATAGTGATTCTTTGTAGCTGTTATTATATGTTTCATACTTATATAGTAACTCAAGATCTCCAGGCCATATCGGACAACCAGATCCTGATAGTGATTCTTTGTAGCTGTTGTTATATGTTTCATACTTATATAGTAACTCAAAATCTCCAGGCCATATCGGACAACCAGATCCTGATAGTGATTCTTTGTAGCTGTTATTATATGTTTCATACTTATATAGTAACTCAAAATCTCCAGGCCATATCGGACAACCAGATCCTGATAGTGATTCTTTGTAGCTGTTATTATATGTTTCATACTTATATAGTAACTCAAAATCTCCAGGCCATATCGGACAACCAGATCCTGATAGTGATTCTTTGTAGCTGTTATTATATGTTTCATACTTATATAGTAACTCAAAATCTCCAGGCCATATCGGACAACCAGATCCTGATAGTGATTCTTTGTAGCTGTTATTATATGTTTCATACTTATATAGTAACTCAAAATCTCCAGGCCATATCGGACAACCAGATCCTGATAGTGATTCTTTGTAGCTGTTATTATATGTTTCATACTTATATAGTAACTCAAAATCTCCAGGCCATATCGGACAACCAGATCCTGATAGTGATTCTTTGTAGCTGTTATTATATGTTTCATACTTATATAGTAACTCAAAATCTCCAGGCCATATCGGACAACCAGATCCTGATAGTGATTCTTTGTAGCTGTTATTATATGTTTCATACTTATATAGTAACTCAAAATCTCCAGGCCATATCGGACAACCAGATCCTGATAGTGATTCTTTGTAGCTGTTGTTATATGTTTCATACTTATATAGTAACTCAAAATCTCCAGGCCATATCGGACAACCAGATCCTGATAGTGATTCTTTGTAGCTGTTATTATATGTTTCATACTTATATAGTAACTCAAAATCTCCAGGCCATATCGGACAACCAGATCCTGATAGTGATTCTTTGTAGCTGTTATTATATGTTTCATACTTATATAGTAACTCAAAATCTCCAGGCCATATCGGACAACCAGATCCTGATAGTGATTCTTTGTAGCTGTTATTATATGTTTCATACTTATATAGTAACTCAAAATCTCCAGGCCATATCGGACAACCAGATCCTGATAGTGATTCTTTGTAGCTGTTATTATATGTTTCATACTTATATAGTAACTCAAAATCTCCAGGCCATATCGGACAACCAGATCCTGATAGTGATTCTTTGTAGCTGTTATTATATGTTTCATACTTATATAGTAACTCAAAATCTCCAGGCCATATCGGACAACCAGATCCTGATAGTGATTCTTTGTAGCTGTTATTATATGTTTCATACTTATATAGTAACTCAAAATCTCCAGGCCATATCGGACAACCAGATCCTGATAGTGATTCTTTGTAGCTGTTATTATATGTTTCATACTTATATAGTAACTCAAAATCTCCAGGCCATATCGGACAACCAGATCCTGATAGTGATTCTTTGTAGCTGTTATTATATGTTTCATACTTATATAGTAACTCAAAATCTCCAGGCCATATCGGACAACCAGATCCTGATAGTGATTCTTTGTAGCTGTTATTATATGTTTCATACTTATATAGTAACTCAAAATCTCCAGGCCATATCGGACAACCAGATCCTGATAGTGATTCTTTGTAGCTGTTATTATATGTTTCATACTTATATAGTAACTCAAAATCTCCAGGCCATATCGGACAACCAGATCCTGATAGTGATTCTTTGTAGCTGTTATTATATGTTTCATACTTATATAGTAACTCAAAATCTCCAGGCCATATCGGACAACCAGATCCTGATAGTGATTCTTTGTAGCTGTTATTATATGTTTCATACTTATATAGTAACTCAAAATCTCCAGGCCATATCGGACAACCAGATCCTGATAGTGATTCTTTGTAGCTGTTATTATATGTTTCATACTTATATAGTAACTCAAAATCTCCAGGCCATATCGGACAACCAGATCCTGATAGTGATTCTTTGTAGCTGTTATTATATGTTTCATACTTATATAGTAACTCAAAATCTCCAGGCCATATCGGACAACCAGATCCTGATAGTGATTCTTTGTAGCTGTTATTATATGTTTCATACTTATATAGTAACTCAAAATCTCCAGGCCATATCGGACAAGCAGATCCTGATAGTGATTCTTTGTAGCTGTTATTATATGTTTCATACTTATATAGTAACTCAAAATCTCCAGGCCATATCGGACAACCAGATCCTGATAGTGATTCTTTGTAGCTGTTATTATATGTTTCATACTTATATAGTAACTCAAAATCTCCAGGCCATATCGGACAAGCAGATCCTGATAGTGATTCTTTGTAGCTGTTATTATATGTTTCATACTTATATAGTAACTCAAAATCTCCAGGCCATATCGGACAAGCAGATCCTGATAGTGATTCTTTGTAGCTGTTATTATATGTTTCATACTTATATAGTAACTCAAAATCTCCAGGCCATATCGGACAACCAGATCCTGATAGTGATTCTTTGTAGCTGTTATTATATGTTTCATACTTATATAGTAACTCAAAATCTCCAGGCCATATCGGACAACCAGATCCTGATAGTGATTCTTTGTAGCTGTTATTATATGTTTCATACTTATATAGTAACTCAAAATCTCCAGGCCATATCGGACAACCAGATCCTGATAGTGATTCTTTGTAGCTGTTATTATATGTTTCATACTTATATAGTAACTCAAAATCTCCAGGCCATATCGGACAACCAGATCCTGATAGTGATTCTTTGTAGCTGTTATTATATGTTTCATACTTATATAGTAACTCAAAATCTCCAGGCCATATCGGACAACCAGATCCTGATAGTGATTCTTTGTAGCTGTTATTATATGTTTCATACTTATATAGTAACTCAAAATCTCCAGGCCATATCGGACAAGCAGATCCTGATAGTGATTCTTTGTAGCTGTTATTATATGTTTCATACTTATATAGTAACTCAAAATCTCCAGGCCATATCGGACAACCAGATCCTGATAGTGATTCTTTGTAGCTGTTATTATATGTTTCATACTTATATAGTAACTCAAAATCTCCAGGCCATATCGGACAAGCAGATCCTGATAGTGATTCTTTGTAGCTGTTATTATATGTTTCATACTTATATAGTAACTCAAAATCTCCAGGCCATATCGGACAAGCAGATCCTGATAGTGATTCTTTGTAGCTGTTATTATATGTTTCATACTTATATAGTAACTCAAAATCTCCAGGCCATATCGGACAAGCAGATCCTGATAGTGATTCTTTGTAGCTGTTATTATATGTTTCATACTTATATAGTAACTCAAAATCTCCAGGCCATATCGGACAACCAGATCCTGATAGTGATTCTTTGTAGCTGTTATTATATGTTTCATACTTATATAGTAACTCAAAATCTCCAGGCCATATCGGACAACCAGATCCTGATAGTGATTCTTTGTAGCTGTTGTTATATGTTTCATACTTATATAGTAACTCAAACTCTCCAGGCCATATCGGACAACCAGATCCTGATAGTGATTCTTTGTAGCTGTTATTATATGTTTCATACTTATATAGTAACTCAAAATCTCCAGGCCATATCGGACAACCAGATCCTGATAGTGATTCTTTGTAGCTGTTATTATATGTTTCATACTTATATAGTAACTCAAAATCTCCAGGCCATATCGGACAAGCAGATCCTGATAGTGATTCTTTGTAGCTGTTATTATATGTTTCATACTTATATAGTAACTCAAAATCTCCAGGCCATATCGGACAACCAGATCCTGATAGTGATTCTTTGTAGCTGTTATTATATGTTTCATACTTATATAGTAACTCAAAATCTCCAGGCCATATCGGACAAGCAGATCCTGATAGTGATTCTTTGTAGCTGTTATTATATGTTTCATACTTATATAGTAACTCAAAATCTCCAGGCCATATCGGACAAGCAGATCCTGATAGTGATTCTTTGTAGCTGTTATTATATGTTTCATACTTATATAGTAACTCAAAATCTCCAGGCCATATCGGACAACCAGATCCTGATAGTGATTCTTTGTAGCTGTTATTATATGTTTCATACTTATATAGTAACTCAAAATCTCCAGGCCATATCGGACAACCAGATCCTGATAGTGATTCTTTGTAGCTGTTATTATATGTTTCATACTTATATAGTAACTCAAAATCTCCAGGCCATATCGGACAACCAGATCCTGATAGTGATTCTTTGTAGCTGTTGTTATATGTTTCATACTTATATAGTAACTCAAAATCTCCAGGCCATATCGGACAACCAGATCCTGATAGTGATTCTTTGTAGCTGTTATTATATGTTTCATACTTATATAGTAACTCAAAATCTCCAGGCCATATCGGACAACCAGATCCTGATAGTGATTCTTTGTAGCTGTTATTATATGTTTCATACTTATATAGTAACTCAAAATCTCCAGGCCATATCGGACAACCAGATCCTGATAGTGATTCTTTGTAGCTGTTATTATATGTTTCATACTTATATAGTAACTCAAAATCTCCAGGCCATATCGGACAACCAGATCCTGATAGTGATTCTTTGTAGCTGTTATTATATGTTTCATACTTATATAGTAACTCAAAATCTCCAGGCCATATCGGACAACCAGATCCTGATAGTGATTCTTTGTAGCTGTTATTATATGTTTCATACTTATATAGTAACTCAAAATCTCCAGGCCATATCGGACAACCAGATCCTGATAGTGATTCTTTGTAGCTGTTATTATATGTTTCATACTTATATAGTAACTCAAAATCTCCAGGCCATATCGGACAACCAGATCCTGATAGTGATTCTTTGTAGCTGTTATTATATGTTTCATACTTATATAGTAACTCAAAATCTCCAGGCCATATCGGACAACCAGATCCTGATAGTGATTCTTTGTAGCTGTTATTATATGTTTCATACTTATATAGTAACTCAAAATCTCCAGGCCATATCGGACAACCAGATCCTGATAGTGATTCTTTGTAGCTGTTATTATATGTTTCATACTTATATAGTAACTCAAAATCTCCAGGCCATATCGGACAACCAGATCCTGATAGTGATTCTTTGTAGCTGTTATTATATGTTTCATACTTATATAGTAACTCAAAATCTCCAGGCCATATCGGACAACCAGATCCTGATAGTGATTCTTTGTAGCTGTTATTATATGTTTCATACTTATATAGTAACTCAAAATCTCCAGGCCATATCGGACAACCAGATCCTGATAGTGATTCTTTGTAGCTGTTATTATATGTTTCATACTTATATAGTAACTCAAAATCTCCAGGCCATATCGGACAACCAGATCCTGATAGTGATTCTTTGTAGCTGTTATTATATGTTTCATACTTATATAGTAACTCAAAATCTCCAGGCCATATCGGACAACCAGATCCTGATAGTGATTCTTTGTAGCTGTTATTATATGTTTCATACTTATATAGTAACTCAAAATCTCCAGGCCATATCGGACAACCAGATCCTGATAGTGATTCTTTGTAGCTGTTATTATATGTTTCATACTTATATAGTAACTCAAAATCTCCAGGCCATATCGGACAAGCAGATCCTGATAGTGATTCTTTGTAGCTGTTATTATATGTTTCATACTTATATAGTAACTCAAAATCTCCAGGCCATATCGGACAACCAGATCCTGATAGTGATTCTTTGTAGCTGTTATTATATGTTTCATACTTATATAGTAACTCAAAATCTCCAGGCCATATCGGACAAGCAGATCCTGATAGTGATTCTTTGTAGCTGTTATTATATGTTTCATACTTATATAGTAACTCAAAATCTCCAGGCCATATCGGACAAGCAGATCCTGATAGTGATTCTTTGTAGCTGTTATTATATGTTTCATACTTATATAGTAACTCAAAATCTCCAGGCCATATCGGACAAGCAGATCCTGATAGTGATTCTTTGTAGCTGTTATTATATGTTTCATACTTATATAGTAACTCAAAATCTCCAGGCCATATCGGACAACCAGATCCTGATAGTGATTCTTTGTAGCTGTTATTATATGTTTCATACTTATATAGTAACTCAAAATCTCCAGGCCATATCGGACAACCAGATCCTGATAGTGATTCTTTGTAGCTGTTATTATATGTTTCATACTTATATAGTAACTCAAAATCTCCAGGCCATATCGGACAACCAGATCCTGATAGTGATTCTTTGTAGCTGTTATTATATGTTTCATACTTATATAGTAACTCAAAATCTCCAGGCCATATCGGACAACCAGATCCTGATAGTGATTCTTTGTAGCTGTTATTATATGTTTCATACTTATATAGTAACTCAAAATCTCCAGGCCATATCGGACAACCAGATCCTGATAGTGATTCTTTGTAGCTGTTATTATATGTTTCATACTTATATAGTAACTCAAAATCTCCAGGCCATATCGGACAAGCAGATCCTGATAGTGATTCTTTGTAGCTGTTATTATATGTTTCATACTTATATAGTAACTCAAAATCTCCAGGCCATATCGGACAAGCAGATCCTGATAGTGATTCTTTGTAGCTGTTATTATATGTTTCATACTTATATAGTAACTCAAAATCTCCAGGCCATATCGGACAAGCAGATCCTGATAGTGATTCTTTGTAGCTGTTATTATATGTTTCATACTTATATAGTAACTCAAAATCTCCAGGCCATATCGGACAACCAGATCCTGATAGTGATTCTTTGTAGCTGTTATTATATGTTTCATACTTATATAGTAACTCAAAATCTCCAGGCCATATCGGACAACCAGATCCTGATAGTGATTCTTTGTAGCTGTTATTATATGTTTCATACTTATATAGTAACTCAAAATCTCCAGGCCATATCGGACAACCAGATCCTGATAGTGATTCTTTGTAGCTGTTATTATATGTTTCATACTTATATAGTAACTCAAAATCTCCAGGCCATATCGGACAAGCAGATCCTGATAGTGATTCTTTGTAGCTGTTATTATATGTTTCATACTTATATAGTAACTCAAAATCTCCAGGCCATATCGGACAAGCAGATCCTGATAGTGATTCTTTGTAGCTGTTATTATATGTTTCATACTTATATAGTAACTCAAAATCTCCAGGCCATATCGGACAAGCAGTTCCTATAGTGATTCTTTGTAGCTGTTATTATATGTTTCATACTTATATAGTAACTCAAAATCTCCAGGCCATATCGGACAACCAGATCCTGATAGTGATTCTTTGTAGCTGTTATTATATGTTTCATACTTATATAGTAACTCAAAATCTCCAGGCCATATCGGACAAGCAGATCCTGATAGTGATTCTTTGTAGCTGTTATTATATGTTTCATACTTATATAGTAACTCAAAATCTCCAGGCCATATCGGACAAGCAGATCCTGATAGTGATTCTTTGTAGCTGTTATTATATGTTTCATACTTATATAGTAACTCAAAATCTCCAGGCCATATCGGACAAGCAGATCCTGATAGTGATTCTTTGTAGCTGTTATTATATGTTTCATACTTATATAGTAACTCAAAATCTCCAGGCCATATCGGACAAGCAGTTCCTATAGTGATTCTTTGTAGCTGTTATTATATGTTTCATACTTATATAGTAACTCAAAATCTCCAGGCCATATCGGACAAGCAGATCCTGATAGTGATTCTTTGTAGCTGTTATTATATGTTTCATACTTATATAGTAACTCAAAATCTCCAGGCCATATCGGACAAGCAGATCCTGATAGTGATTCTTTGTAGCTGTTATTATATGTTTCATACTTATATAGTAACTCAAAATCTCCAGGCCATATCGGACAACCAGATCCTGATAGTGATTCTTTGTAGCTGTTATTATATGTTTCATACTTATATAGTAACTCAAAATCTCCAGGCCATATCGGACAACCAGATCCTGATAGTGATTCTTTGTAGCTGTTATTATATGTTTCATACTTATATAGTAACTCAAAATCTCCAGGCCATATCGGACAACCAGATCCTGATAGTGATTCTTTGTAGCTGTTATTATATGTTTCATACTTATATAGTAACTCAAAATCTCCAGGCCATATCGGACAACCAGATCCTGATAGTGATTCTTTGTAGCTGTTATTATATGTTTCATACTTATATAGTAACTCAAAATCTCCAGGCCATATCGGACAAGCAGATCCTGATAGTGATTCTTTGTAGCTGTTATTATATGTTTCATACTTATATAGTAACTCAAAATCTCCAGGCCATATCGGACAACCAGATCCTGATAGTGATTCTTTGTAGCTGTTATTATATGTTTCATACTTATATAGTAACTCAAAATCTCCAGGCCATATCGGACAACCAGATCCTGATAGTGATTCTTTGTAGCTGTTATTATATGTTTCATACTTATATAGTAACTCAAAATCTCCAGGCCATATCGGACAAGCAGATCCTGATAGTGATTCTTTGTAGCTGTTATTATATGTTTCATACTTATATAGTAACTCAAAATCTCCAGGCCATATCGGACAACCAGATCCTGATAGTGATTCTTTGTAGCTGTTATTATATGTTTCATACTTATATAGTAACTCAAAATCTCCAGGCCATATCGGACAACCAGATCCTGATAGTGATTCTTTGTAGCTGTTATTATATGTTTCATACTTATATAGTAACTCAAAATCTCCAGGCCATATCGGACAAGCAGATCCTGATAGTGATTCTTTGTAGCTGTTATTATATGTTTCATACTTATATAGTAACTCAAAATCTCCAGGCCATATCGGACAAGCAGATCCTGATAGTGATTCTTTGTAGCTGTTATTATATGTTTCATACTTATATAGTAACTCAAAATCTCCAGGCCATATCGGACAACCAGATCCTGATAGTGATTCTTTGTAGCTGTTATTATATGTTTCATACTTATATAGTAACTCAAAATCTCCAGGCCATATCGGACAACAACAACAAAGTCGGTTAGCAAGAGTTAGAACGTCCAATATATATGTACATATGTTAAGAAAGATATTAGATGCCTTTATTTTCATTATTGTATAAGTAAGATTCTATAAGCTGTTTTAAAAACACGGTATAGTTAAATTGCATTTGTATGAACGTTACAGCTCTAGTTAACCACTCTGTATAATATTAAGTAATTTTTGTGTAATATAAATAAAGGAAATATACCTCTGTGGAATTCTTGCTACATATTTAGCTATTGCAATATATTTAAACTATTTCAATTTTCAAATTTCAGACCAAATATGAAATTTACCATATAAAACTATTTACAATAAAGTCCCGGATAATATTCTAGTTGCCAACCAAATATGTATTAATACGTTTATGCATATTTATATTTTTATGACACTTAATGCTAAGGTTTATCAAAAACATTTGATTTGTCTGTATTTATATAATCTTCTAAACCTGGTGTCTTCTTTCTTAAATCATAGTATGGAACTATTAGTGACCTTTACGAAGCAGGGATTATATTACAAAAGTTGTCGTCAAGTTCAATGCAAAAGAAATTGTTCAGCATTTAGATTGATTTTTTTAACTTGCACACATTTGGGCTACTTTAAGAAAGATTGTCATATGGAAATTATTTTCAATCGCAGGGCATTTATTAAGTGCTAAAACTAAAATTCAGAGAAATGAGGAACAATCTATGTATGTACATATATAAAAATTTTAATACCTTTTTCCCTTGGTCACGGCATCACGCGTGAATTGCTGGACCGATTTCACTGATTCTTTTTTTGTTGTATAATGTATTTGTTATTGATAGGAGAAGGTTCTGATGTAATAAAAAAATACGAAAATTACTAGAAAAGAAAATAACTACAATGTTTCACTTTTATGTTAAAATAATATGTCACTGGCGGTAATATCACGTAGTTAGAATAAAGTATTAGAATAATAAACACTTTGTTTTTGGAATAATGTTTATATGTATTAATATACCAATAAGAATCCAATAATCACAGTAAGAAGACAGACCATTGTCTGTCGGGTCAGTTATACTTAATAAAGAAATTAATTTTATTCAGATAAAAGGTAACAGATATAGGGTTCGCCGGGTCAGCTAGTTATTAATAAAGCGAATTTTCAAAAGGAACAATTTAATTGGATAATTATGAATTATAGGTTTCTCACAAATATATTGAATTTTTGTCTACACTGTGAATTTTGTTGTCACATAGTTTTGGTGAAATTTACAAATGTACATGTTAAGTACATGACATGTACATATATTTCAAATTGTATAAAAAACAATGAAATCAAATGATATTGTCAATTAAATGAAACTAATATTTTCGGATTTACTACGCGTTTTTATTTTTGACTATAAACTTCATACTCCCGACGTTTTGGCTACTTTTTTTTTTTTTTTTTTTTTTTTTTTTTTTTTTTTTTTTTTTTTTTGTTATCGCGGTGAAAGGTTTTATACCTACCCCTCCGTCTAGGGGAGACAGAGGCGGTTATGTGGGATTCACGGCCAGAAGGGCCCATGTTACCCACTAAAACACCAGCGGTCACTCTCCGTTGCCGCCAAGTGGATCGCCACGGGAAACGCCGAAGCATGCATCCGCGACGATCCGGCGGCGGGCCGCGAACGGCCACCTCCCCCCCCCGAGGGCTCACTCCAAGTGACCAGGAGTGTCCCCCCGCCTGGCGGGCTTGCTTAATCGCGAGAGGGTTAACCCCTTACCCCTCCCACCCAAGCCCACGCGGCCAGTCTCCAACCACCCACCGACGAGCGCAAGCGCCCGACGGCAGACAGAGAGGTAACCGACCGACCACAAGCGAACTCAGGCCTCCGGAGAGACCCGAGTATCCCCTCCCCCCCAAGACAGCCACGGACGGCCTCCTGCCAGATCCGTGACCGTCTTACTCCCAGGGCTGTACCCCCAGCCCTCCCCCCCGTGACTGATTGCACCGGAATACACCAGTGGGCGATGGGGTCGTCACGTCCCGACGCCGGACTGCGCCGACAGTGGCCGAGGCCACCCGCCAACACGTAGGGCCGAACTTGGCAGCGGCGGTGTACACCGCCGAGCCTCGTCCTACCCACCTCCATGGGCTGCACCCCCAGCCCGGGCCAAGACCCCACGAGGAGGTCAAGGCCCTTCCCCCCCGTGACTAATTGCACCGGAATACACCGGTGGGCGATGGGGTCGTCACGTCCCGACGCCGGGACGTTTTGGCTACTTTACAGCAACCGTGATCACGGGCAGATTAGATGTGATATAGTCAATTGTTGAATTGCAATTATTAAAACTTATTATAAGTAAAATATTTGTATATATCGGATTTATTACAAACTAGCTTTCCGCCCGCAGCTTCGCCGCGTGGAGTTCGGTTATATCGCGTTTCCAAGAGAACCTTTCAAAAGTCTGGGATAAAAACTATCCTATGTTCTTTCTCAAGGTCAACTCTATCTCTGTACCGAATTTCATTAAAATCAGTTCAGTGGTTTAGGCGTGAAAGCGTAGCAGACAGACAGACAGACAGACAGACAGAGTTACTTTCGCATTTATAATATTAGTAGGGATTCATTGTTTTCTAAGAGAGAGACGCCAGCCTCGCTGACGTTACAAATGTCACTTCTTCTAAAGCTCCATGATATTTTAAAATGAAACTTCAATTGTTCTTAATATTCCTGTATTTCTTGAAGGTTCTTCATAGTCACATACTTCAATGATACGCACTCACTGAACTCTGAATTCTCAAGTCTGCCGTCGTGCGTCCAGACGTCATATTTATACCAAGATTTAAATCTAGTTCTATTCTCCTTTCAAACAATATTTGATTTCGTTTTACTTTTAACAATAATCATAAATACTAATGAGTTTTAATAAGAATTGATGACAGCCTCAAATTATTTTCACGTCTCATCCGTCATTAAAGCTGATAGCGCCGATACGGCCATTCTGACAGGCGGTGCGTGCTCTGCACCTGCCTGGTGATGTATTCCCTCTTGGTTGGTGTTCGTTACGTTCTTGGACCAGTCCCCCGTCTCGTAGAGTAGATGTGGCAGGATCAAGAATTGATGCTTCATCTTCCGAAGACATGCCGATACGGTCATACCGGTGTTTGCTCTGCATATTGTTACAATTATGGATATCAAATTTGTTGTGGTCATATGAGTGACGTTGTTAACTACGACACATCGTCAGATGGTCATAATATCACGTCCAATTATCTAAGATACTTAAGATGCTCAAGCTCATGAATATTAATTAAATACAAACAATTAACCCTAACAATTATAATGTTACCAAAAGTATATATTTGCGTTTTATTCTTTTTATATTAAAATACAAGATCAATAAATTGTAAAGATATGAGTGTTTTAAAAATATTATTACATTCCACGTCTGATACGCTTATAAGTTATAGCCATCTCTTAAAGTGAATTTTATTATAGAATGGAATTTAGAAAACTTATTTAAATATATAAATATGTAATTAATTATTATTTGAAAATATTAAAATAAATTTTAATTTCAAATTCCTTAATAACAATTTCATTTCGGTCATAACAGAAATTTCATTTTCCTTACAGTATTCAGTCAACTTCTAAATAATATTCTTTATTAAAAATCTCTAACAAAAAAAAGTAATATTGTTTGAAACCGTTATTAAATTAAATAAAAAAATGTTTTTCACTTAAATGAACTTGAATACAAATCATCAAAAATTTATGCTATTTTAAATTAAATATTACATGTACTATAGAGATATATTTTGCGAATATTGCTCAGAAATAACATGAAAATTTTATAAGAGAGCAGTAGATATTACTTAAAACAACATATAATTTTATATACTTTGATGCTTTTCATGAGTTATCAAGTATTTTTCGCTCATTTTGCTGTTTTGAACAAAGTTTAGTGTGTCATATCAAACCCGACGAGTTTGTTTCAGTATGCATAAATATGTAACTTTACCTTTTAGTATTGCAAATGTTACTCATTTCATTATTAGAAATCCTTGTTAAACTAAGGACCATATCTAATTTAAATTCATAAAAATAATGCCCCATCTTTGCTACTTCGTCGTTCTAAATGAAAACAGTTCTTTTATTTGTGGAACAAAACTTTAATCATAATATTTATACCTACCTTATACTATTTTGTAACTAATTTGAAAACATTATTAAAATTTTAAGTAAACGTTACATCTGGAAATGTGACTGGAAATGACATTTAAAATATTGCGTTTTACGTCACAGCTTATATTAGCTACAGAAATTAAACTATGTATCTTAATCTGTCAAGAAGTATTAATTTTAAACTCAGTTCTTAATGTTACTAATGGATTTGATTTAACAAATTTAGGTCAGAAATAAGTGTCCGTAATCGTTACTAGAGGCTTATAAATGATTTATTATTATTACATATATTCAAAAATGTCTGCGGCAAGGAGAATGATCTACTTTGGGGCGGTCAAATTTATGCTCCGTTTATATCTCATATTTGACGCTGGCAATATAAAACCTATTTGGATGTTCCCGTTGACCCAGTATTATGAATTTGGCAGGCAGGTGTCACGAGAGAAAAGAATAAAAAACTTTACGACCTCCCACACTTTCATTGAAATGATTCCGTATTAAGTTTTAAAATTATATATATCATTAGATAAACGCCTTTATTCCGTTTGAAAGACACCTTCTACAAACAGTTTTCAAGATTATAATTCGTTCAACAAATAAAAACGTTGATATTGGAGAAATATTTAACAATTCCAATGAGTAGAAGTCATAGCGTAAGAAAAAAACATATTTAGGAACAATTGTCACTACAAAAAGATCGGGGACAGTTATAATAGCATCTGGCTTGAAATCGAATTGCAATTTATTGCTTTCAAGTCCACCTATAAATATAATATTCTGTTTGACTATAAGACAATTTGGGAACTAAGGAACTAAATCTAAATTCAATTTGGCTTAAGAAACATACTTAACAACATTCTCTGACTTGAAATAGAATCTCTCATAATGTTATGGATAGGGTTAAACTAACCTATCTTTTTACAAACAAAACTTAATAATAAAATAATGGATAAAATTAATTTGAATCCTTCTTTGTTGAAATCTTATTGGTTTGTTTTAAGACAATATTTGTGAATTTGTGAAAAATTTACTTATAATTTAGATACATTTTATCGAAAAACAAACAAAATTATTTTAGCGTAAATAAACAATGGACTTAAAACTTTCAAAGTAAAATTTCTTTAAAGTAAATAAACTTCTTATTACATAATTTGTCTGCTGCGGTCTTTATGTTAATTTCGGTAAATTCTCTACTGGCTTAATATAACAAGGTATGAAACATTTTAAGAATTCAGATTGTAAAACGTACAACATCCTGTACATTTATATTGCTCCAACAAAGAAGTTTCAACAAATTAGCAGCGTAAATGAACAACATCTAGAAAAACAGATTGCATTTTTTAGTACCTGACGAGTTCGTTTTATTCTATTCTGGATAGGACGAAATATTCCTATCACGCCTAACAAACGCGAATCGATTGATGAATCGATTTCTAAAAAACATAGCTAAGAACACTCTACGGATATACCTTTCAAACAAAAAAACCGCATTAAAATCGGCTCATCCGTTTGGGAGCTACATTACATCAGACAGACATATACACACACACACACACACATAGACACGTCAAACTTATAACCCTGTCGTTTTTGCGTCGGGGATTAAAAACACAACAGTAATGAATAAAGTTAGTAATGAATTTTGTATTATTTTCCAGACAAATCTACAAAGACCTATCATACCTAGTGGATGTATGTCAGCAGGCTGTAACGTTGGATCGTCTCGTGCACTACGCATTAAGAAGGGAGCTACGTACTATGGAAGATGTCATGCAGTTCGCGGCTCATCTACGGTTGTATGTGATACAGGAGAGCGAAATAGTGGCTGATAGAATCGTGAGTATCTGTGTTTTATAAGGCAGCCCTACTAGGGCTACTACCTACTAAATGACTTGGGCCTGTCCAGAACTCACATTAACTCATTCCTGGATCGTACTTCGAAGGCAGTCCTTGTAGGTTCTTTTCAAATTTGGTTAGGTAGAGAGAGGAGCTTGGACAGTGGAGGTGAGCGTTTAACGCGCGTTAGATAGGGACCCTTTAAACCTACATCTGAGTCGCAAGTCACAGACACTGTTGAAGCTCCTCTCACTACAACGATGGACCTGGCACCCGCACGGTGAATACATTGAATTCTAAAGAGGTTTTGTCTGCATATAGTTTGTATTGTGTTCGTTATTAATTGATTCATCCAAATTCATAATTTGGATAAACACTTTATTTTTAATAAGGATTATCATATAAAAGCATAGGTATAATTGGTTTTAGGATCAAACTAAAACGGTTTAGTGCTGACATCTAGTTAAACTTAACCACATATATAGTAAAGTATGTCAAGATTTTATTTTATAAAAATTAATTAAAAGAATTATAATTTTATTTGGACCTACTTTCTTAAATTTCTGATATGTTTTTAAGTTTTTTGAATAATTCTGATGCATGATTTTAATTTTTTGCATATTTATTTTCTTGACATATAAGTATGTAATTTATAATTTTTCAGAAATCAATGACTGATATATGCAAAGAACAGGAAAATGTTGAAAGAAATCTACAAAAACTAAACATTTTAGTACAAAGTTTGTCTTCAATACTTGGAGTAAATAGTACAGATGTGTTGTTATATGTTAAGACTTATAATGAATTGATGAGTAGAGGTAGCTAGTTGAAAGAAAATATAACTGAGGAATATAAAAGAAAGGAAAATGAATTGATGCAATAGTAAGTATGATTTGAGTGTAATTTATAATATATTAATATTTTTTTTGTCTTAGTACAAAAGGAATTATTTTAAACCTACGTACAATTATTTATCAATATATTATATAAAAATTATTTAATGACACAATGTTAGAAAAGTTCTTGAAAATAATTATTACGTTTTCCTATAAACACAAAAAACAATATAAATTGTTTCGCCTGGTAGCCAGTAACTAAAATATTTTATGATAATTAGTAAGTTGCCCCCCTTAGGGTAACAGAAATGTTCTACTTCAATTAGAATATAATAATTAACTTTCCAAAATAGTGAATTTCAATTTCAAAGTCAATACAATTCAGGACTTTCAGAGTGAACTAATTGAATGAGTAAACTTATTTATGAACACCCAACATACTGACTTGGCATTCATTAACATATAATATTAATAGCTAATACAACTGCTACTTCAAAGTTTCCTATATATATAAATACAATAAATTTTCAGTAAGAATTTTTCATCGGCCCACCTAAGATCCAACGTACATGATGATTGTACAAAACAACCAAACTGTAACAACACAGTCATCTCAGCCATGAGACACCGACTGATACAAGACAGAGATGTTGTGGATGAAAGGATCGTTGAAACAAGCGTTATGTTCAATGATATTAAGGTAATGAAAGATACTTACCTAAGAATCTACTTGGGTAACTTCTAGTAAAATAGAAAGTTACTTAGGTAACTAGTATTTACTATCAAAAGATTAAGATTATGGTGTCATAAAGTGATCACATTGTGAATTTTAATAATAATATTTGAATGAAACTATTATTTTTCCGATTACTACGAGTATTTTATTATTTTTAATGGTCGAAAAGAAGTTTACCGTTATCACGGTTGGTGAAAAGTAAAAGTAACGTCGAGAATATGTAGTTTTTAAAAATAATATAATAACGCTTATGTAGTAATCAGAAAATTAAATTTACATGACAGAAATACTTGATTGATGGTTTTTTGACTTAACTGCACCTTGTCATAAGATACGAATTTCCTTAGCCTGACTTGCAATCAACGTTCTGAATTTTATGATAGCTAATCAGTATTTGCCCTCATCCAGTTCAGAATTCAAACCTCTAAACTTCATATTATTGTTAGCTTAAAAGAACTGTGTACTTCAAACAACGAGGTTACATTAAGCACCTTAAAAATCTTTTTAAAAAACAGTGGTGAAAATACCTTGTAAACAGTGACTAATTCTAGAGTATCAAAGTCAAACAAATTAAGAGCCTAT